GCAACTGTTTGAACTTTGAAGGCTGGGATTCCAGAACGTATCTGACTTTGGAGAGTGCACGGGGATTGGGGAGGAGGAGACCTCTAGCAGATTTTCTCGGGTCCTCTGGGTACCTTCGCATCACTCCAGTCATCTTCACTGCCTAGATTCGAAGGGGCCGACGGATGGAAAAGGACCCCCGATGTTAAACTCCGGTCTGCCATCCCATCTTCCTCGGCTCGGCTTCAGACTTGACGAGATAGATCATAGAATGCCTCTGCCAAGCGAGTGCGCAGGGGTTCCTCAACAGCAGCGAAAAGGTTGGGAATCCACCTCTCAACGCCGCGTCGAAGTGGAACGATTCTTGCCCAAAGAGGAGGCATTTCGGAGAAATGGAAGTTGCTTAGCAGCCTTAGCTCGCCTCTGGCAGTGGACAGCCTAGGCTTTGTACAATAGGGGCGGCCCTGGAAGGCCACGCCACAGGCGGCTGCTGTCGGACAGGGTCCCGAACAACGTGCTGACGGAGCCCTGTGACTCTTGGCATCGCACCATCGACCTTCTAGGGGGCGTCTTTGCGGTAATTCTAGCACAAGTCTTGGATGGTTCCGCTGCGAGAGCGGCCTTGGCCATATGAAAAAGGGGTTGCGAAAGGCAGAATTAATGACCGCCGTTGGCTTCTTGCCTCCTTGGCAGGTAGAATAGGTTGCGATGTCTGTCGTCCTCTGATCCTTTCGGCTTCCGGTCGAGCCTCAATCATTGGCATTACGGACCAAGGGGCTGGGCATCGAGAATCGATCCGCGGCTATACATAGTTGAACGGGGGCTTGCTCGGGCCAAGGTGCTGGCCAAAGGCTGGACAAATACGACAGGAGATGAACTTTTCACCAGTTTGTGATTGTACTCCGTACACAGCCTGGCCGAGCCGTTCGTCCAGGCCGCGGCACGGGGGCGGTCGAGGACGAAGGCTTGGACCTTCGCGCGAACTTTTGGCAAACGTCTCAGTGGAACGCAGGCAACACGAACGTCAAGGTGCATAGGAACGTGGTTTCCGCTACAGTATTCGACTACGCCGTCTGTCAAACATTTGGAATCCGCGAGTGCTGTTAACAATTCCGCTATTGAAGTGGTCAAATCTGTGGCGTCTGTCGCCTTCCTTTCCGCTGACCATTCGGGATCTCCTCGATTTCCCCAGTCCGTCGCTCACTAACAACAACTAGTTGCTGCTATCACCAAGCAACCCAGAGACAAGTTGCTCGGTATGTGCCAATGCCGTTGTTGAATTGCCAGCTGGCTCAGCGGAGGGACAATCGATTCGCAGCTGGCCAGGGGATTGAGAACCAATTGAGTACTGTTCAGGTGACATGTAGTTAGTGGACTGATGATCCCACGGAGCCGGCAGTAGAAAGAGGCAGTGATGAGCGGCTTAGTGTGGTGTTACTGTCACCGCTGCGCGAAGAGACAGCAGAGCATCCCACGTCAAGGGTTGCATGACAGGGCACGGACAGACGCGGCATTCGTCAGAACAGGTGACTTCCACGGTGGCATCTTGCCATTTTGTCCGTCGTCTGGTTTGTCGGCGCCAGCTCAAAGCGAAGATATTGAATACGTCCAACGTCCAAGAACCCACGATTGTCACCAAATTGACCTGAAATTCCAAGATTTGTCTGGAATAGCTGTATTCAATCATCACCTGACAGAGTCAAAGTACGAAAGTTACAAGTACTTGGCCGGACAGGAGTTTGTAAGCCGAGAGACAACCAAGGCTGCCCACGTTCCGGACCAAGGGACGGAAGAAGAGTGCGTCAAGTCCAGAATTCGCACGTCGTGGCTTGCATTGAAACTCCATGGGATGCCGGACTACGTACAACGCCGGCGCAGTCTGGGGAAATAGGCTAGAAGCCACCAGATCTGGGGAAAACGCAATTGCAAGCCAGCACGAATGATGGATACCTATCAACGACAGGGAGGTCCCCGAAGACTACAGCGGGATCTCGAACACACGTCGCGGTTCGTCCGGCGCCTGGTGCCATCATCGGACCATTTGCACTAGAAGGTGTGTACTTCGACTCGATATATGCATACGCACACGGAAGCAATGGGACTTGGTCTTTTGTCGATCGAGTGGACGGCAGAGGGTGTGCAGCAATCGCCCAAGCTTTCCCCGCAGCCCGTCGCCATGTGGCCGTCGATTGCGCGCCTCTGATGGAGGCCATTGTTGGGGTTGATCAACAAGGCTACTCCAAAGCTCCTTCCAGCACGGTCATGATGACGCTTAGGATACACCTGGCTCAACTTTGCAGGCCTTCGCCATGCGGACAATGGTTTAGAACGCGAGTAGAGGGCATAGCGGTAATCCGTACAGAAGAGCTCTCAGCCAAACCTCGAAATGTTTCCTTTACAGACTTGAAGAGAGGAAACGCCTTGGCGCCTGACGCACACCTCACAAAACTCTTCCTGGTCTTGCATCCGCGTCGACATCTGAAGCCGGAGTCAAAGGGGCTCGGGGTGTCTCGAATAGGCTGGGATATTGCCAGTCCACCCCCAGATTCCCCGCAACACCCATCTCTAGGGCACGGTTGATATGGATAGTCACCGGCAGAATGTGGCCAGATGACAGATGTATTGTGACAAAGGCCGGTAAAAGGCAGAAAGATCTCGCCCAAAGAGCTGGGTTGGTTGAAACGCGCGATGCGATGCAGGCCCGAAACAGTGGTGATGTGTTCCCACCGTACAGACTACAAACTGGGGGAGTGGAAACTCTTTAATCTGGATGATACTTGCCGTTGACAGGATCAACTCGAAGATTCTTTCGGTTTAAGTCGAGATTCATCTCTTGGACGCTCCTCAAAAGCCCAGCAGCAGCAGCCGCGTCGTCAACCAGGCCAGTACTAATATCATGCCGACTGCCGGCAGATTTGGTCCGCCCACGATCCGCAGCCAAGACGGGGAAGAGCCGTGGCGGTAATTTGGCTGGTCCCCTGTTGCAGGAATGATTTTTTCATCGAGCACCGCCGAAGTACCCTTGATCCGCTGGGCCTTTTGGTTCGACCATATTCATGACACACGGTAATATCGACGTGCCGCTACAAGCTACAACTCAAATGCGACCTTTCTGCCGTCCTGCTCTATCGCCCAATGAGAGTGCGACCGCGAAGAGGGAATAATCTGGACGGAACTCATGGAAAGCCGGGCGTTAGGGACTCAGGGCAGAGCACAACGCCAGTCCAAAAGCGTTCAGACGGCAGACGCACCTCTTATTTCCGCTGCAATTATAGTTACATCAGGTGTTATCGCCACGCTCTCCCTGCATTTTTGGGGCTCAATCTGGTCTTGGCCGGTCGCCAGTGCATCACAGCGAAGCATTCGTAATCCCACGCATCACATCTGCGTCGACGTTGGTTGCTGGACAATACGGAGAAGATGAGCCACGCCACCTGGAAGCGACAAGTCTGTACTCTGTAGTCGGGACCCGCGACGTCTTTGGGAGACCATATGGAAGAGGCTTCGATCCATATGGTATCTCAGTCGCAGCCTCTTCTTTGACAAACGTCAGAGGCTAGATCCTTGGGGGTCGTTTTCGACAACAGCATGCCCAGGCCGCTTATGCAATAATGATTTGCGTTCCATCACCCCCGCTACTTGCTAGTTGCAGACGGCGACCAGAGCAGCCACGCCTAAAAAAATTGGAGAAGCTTTCTGGTGACGGAAAAGGTGGGAATGACATCAGCTCGTGGACTGATTTCCCAAGTGGCCCGAGGCAGAGGTTGGTTTGTGGCCTTTGATCGTCGCTTGCTTCCTCGCCTCGCTACTCAATTGGCATACCTAACACCCCTAATCCGATCGCTGGAATTCGACAGTGGCTCAAACCCGCGGGGATGGACGAAAGGATGGCCGTTCAAAGATGTCTCAGAGTTTGAGGGTCTCTACAGTTAGTCTCGTCTCCCAACTCGGTCTTCGAACACCGATACCGTACATACGGATGCCAGCTGGGCAAGCCCAAGTCGCCTTCACCAATCAACCAATTGTCCCCCCGCTACTTGCATTGAAGACCGGATGGCCGGGATGTCAGCAAAGACTGGCCAAACTGTATGGAGTAGCTTATGATGGGATGAAGCTCCTTTTCTCACAGGGGCCACACGCACACTGCTGCGTCAGTTCTTGGGCAGGCCGTCTCTGTATGATCTGGGGATGCCGTCTTTGAGCTGGCATGCTGCTTCCACGCAATTGGCGATGAAACCCCCTTCACCAGCAGACATGCTCCTCTTCCTTTCCTTTTCGGCCCGTCGGGTCTCTGGGGAAGACGGGAGGAGACTTTTATTCGCGCCATTGCGGATTTTCTCCCATGTCATTTCCAGCAGATCTCGCCTTCCAATGGCGGTCTCCGACGCCGTGTCAGTGGTCACTCCACCACCACCCGACATCGCAACCTAAAATATTAAAATAATGAATCTATTATGGAGCCTCTGTTGGACCCCATGCCCATTTCGTCCCCCGGTTCATTCTTCTCTGGGCTTTAAAGATCGGCCCTTGGAAGCAGACGGCTCGCCTTTCGCCCTCACACCCTCTTAGTCTACCAACATACGCGATCTTACTCGACCCACTCCCTCCCTCCTGCTTCTGCAGACGACGCCTCCTCACTTCACTTGTCCTCCTCCTCCTCCTCCTCATCCATCTCCAGTTCTCCGCGCCAGTCGGGCCCACGTATCTGTGCATACCCCAGACGTCCACACACGTTCACGAAGCTACCGGCCCATCAGCTATCTGCATTTTGCGCTGACCCTCGACCCCGGCCTCCGTTCGTCCTGGCTTGATCGTTTCTTGCCTCGAACCCCGTTCTCCCCCATTACTTAAAGACTGCTCCCCACCCATTCCCCGGAGTCGAGAGAAACCTTCCTCCATCAAAGTTGTGTGCCGTCTTCCGTGGAGTTTGCCTACGCTTGCTACAAGATACTCCCTATACTTATTCTTCTCTTGGTTACCTCCTTGCCTTATTATCTCTTACACCCGGAAGATTACACACAATGGCCACGCACGAGGCTCACCACAACGCCGTCCCTCCACAGGACGTGGAGAAGGACGTGCATACCTCTGGTGCCGACCACTACAATGGTGCCAATGGTGCTCATGTAGGCCAAAACACATACTCACGACAAGCCGGGCCTTTCTCCCGCGTTGCCGACTACCGGAACATGACTGAAGGAGAAGCGCAGGCATTCGGCGGTTCGCTCCAACCCGGCGTATGGAAGCCGTACGAGCACAGAAAGTTCGCCAACCCGGCGCCCCTCGGTCTGTCGGCTTTCGCCCTCACGACGTTTGTCCTTTCTTGCGTCAACCTCCACGCTCGCGGCGTGACTGCGCCTAACATTGCCGTCCCTCTCGCCTTTGGATATGGAGGTCTTGTCCAGCTCCTCGCTGGCATGTGGTATGTCCAAACTTTTCCTCCTTCTCTGTTTTTTTCTTTTCTTTTTCCGTACCAGGGTCCCCGAAACTTCCCCAACATCTCATCTCAACCGTCTCCACGATGTCCCCCGCAAGCGGAAGCTCCGGTGCGTTCTTGTGGAGCATGGACGCGCTCCTTTGCGCCGGAGTGGACCTTGAGCTAGACACCAACATGGGGGACTCGGGGAAGGTTGGTCCATAGGATGCCTGTCCGCGTCCTGGACCAGGGGAACCTGTGGAGAAGCTTGTGTAATACGAGCATCACAAATCAGTCATCACTGCATCCTTCATCCGCGCCAATGTTGACTGACGGTTGGTGGTTTGCAGGGAGATGGCCGTTGGCAACACCTTTGGTGCCACTGCCCTTTCATCGTACGGCGGTTTCTGGATCGCATACGGCATCCTCTTGACCCCCAACTGGGGCATCATCGCCACGGACGGCCCCTATGCCGCCAACTACTCTGACCACTACTCGGCTGTTGGCTTCTTCCTCACGGGCTGGTTCATCTTCACGACGCTGCTGCTTCTCTGCACCCTTCGCTCGACCGTGGTCTTCTTCTCCCTCTTCTTCACCCTCGACTTGGCCTTCCTCTTCCTCGCCTGCGAGAACTACGCCGCCAACAACGGCGCCTTGACCGCGTCGCGCAACTTGCAGATTTGCGGTGGTACATTTGGTATGCTTGCCGCGTTTTTGGCGTGGTATTGTGCATTGGCAGGTCTTCAAGACGATAGGTGAGTTTCTGCAATCCACCCACCCATTCGCCCGGGCGGCGATCGGCTCAGGTCTAGACTAGACTGAGCCACCGTCATCACCGTCCCCCTCCCCTCTGCCGCTACGCTTCCATGATGAACGCGCGATGTGGATTCCGTTTGCTAATACTGGAAATTTCTGCAGCAACTCCTTCTTCCAGGTTCCCGTTTTCCACCTCCCGTGGTCCGATAAGGGCAAGGAGCTTCGCCGGGCCAAGAGCAACGTCGCCTAAGTCGATCTGTATTGCCATGAGGCTTGATGTGTATTGTATTCATTTAATGCGCTGAATATGAAGGGATGTGTGCGGTCGATGCGCCCGCGATGATTTAGGATACCCAATTACGAGGGGTGTTGTCGCGCTTGCCGCTTGCATGTGGCCAAGCTGGGCGACATGACAGAGCAGACTGGTGAAATGCGGAGCCAATGCAAAGAATCTTGCAGCTACTTATATAGTATTAATATCATGAGGGAAAATGCTCACATGAATGACTTACAATTGAATGTTGGTGATCGCCTCCATTGAGGTGTTGATGTTTCCTCAATTGGGAATTGAGCTCTGGGGTGAGCAATAACGTTAGACTACTGTGTACATCCTACGATCCAAATTCACAACTACCTAAAAATGTTGATTGTTCATCAAGGATCACCATAATAAACAACCGCAACAAGTGCTCGCATTTCAGAGTCGCAAGCTGGTAGTTGGCTCTTCAGACCAAGTAAGACCAAGATGCAGTGACGTCGGACAGCTACAGGGCCCTTGCCGTTGCGGCGATTCGGAGACGGAGAAGCGTCACTGGTGTCTTGGCGACGAGGCGAGTAAGCAGCCGTTTCCGAAGGTATGATTAATTACGGGAGATGCGCCTCGCCGCCTTTTTTGCTTCGCGGAGGGCGGGAGGACAGACGGGAAGAGGGGAGGGAGGATTTGGGGGCGGCGCTTGAGGGCTTGGCGTACCTCATTTTTGGGGGGGAAGATGCGGAGGAGACAACGGCGGAGAGAGGAGCGATTGCTTGATACTTGGCGGTTTCGAGGTATTGGACTTGAGGTCACGGGTGAATGCTTCGATTGATATGTGTGTTTGGGGCTGCGCGGGTTCTTGAGTGGGAAGAATGGTGATGTTTTGCTTGTCTTGTCTGAGGTAGACACATCGGGCATCATGCAGCTGAAACGTGGCTGCGAGGGAGAAGATTGAAATGTGTTTTCGTATGAAGATATTCTTGGACCTACCTATGCCGCATGAGCGTTGATTATCTGAGTTGGGATAGAGAAATTTGATGTGGTGTTCAACTCATGTCGATAGATGAATCTACAATACTGCAGAGTTCGTCTTGTCTTGGGGCAGTCACCAATAGGTCGCACTTAGAGACCAGAGCGTCCGTTTGAACCCTGTGCCCTTGACCTTGAGCCTTGGAGCTGTTGGTTGCGTTTGGTTCGAGTTGACGTGAACTGAAGTCATTGTGTCGGACGTGACTTGAGCACTACATGGCGATCAATGATTTAACCAACTTTGAGAGAAATCGTCGCCAGAGCCTTCGGGTTCTTCAAGAAGCCCGGCCCCACATTGCCAGGAAATGAAACGATGCAAATTCTTTGTACATAAAGAGATTATTGTGCAATTCGTGCCCAGCTGGATGGATTGAAGCGCCATCATTGGTACAGACCTGGGAGTACATGACTCGTGCAAATTCTGCATATGCACAAATATGCATAACTCCGTCCATTGGTTGTTATCACGCCTGCCGTGTAACTCTGGACGGCTTCTTCTGCGTCCGTGATCTGTTGGAGGACTTATGCTTCGAAAAGAGGGTGATATATCTGGAGCATGCGCTTTTAAAGTCTGCGTTTTTGGTTCCTCTCTTCTTCTGCAACTTGCGGTCTCGTTTGTCTTGTATTCGAATTAAATAGACTTTTCGATAACTGGATTCAATTGCAAAATGCCATTCAACTTCGACTTTTGGACGGTCTACCACGGGTTGATGCTCATCCCGTCCGCAATCGTCGTCGTAAGTCTCATGAAACCTCAATTACTTTGTCTTAACGTAGCTAATTACTCACCAAGATCATACTTTACTACACTGTCCTCGCACTCTACAACATTTACTTCCACCCCCTCTCCTCCTTTCCAGGTCCCCGCCTCGCAGCCGCAACACCACATTGGATGGCCCTCTCCTATCTAGGCGGCCGCACTCCCTACGATCTCCTCGAGCTACACAACAAATACGGCCCCGTCGTGCGCACATCCCCCGATTCCCTGTCGTACATCAAGGCGCCGCAGTGGAAGGAGATTTACGGGCACAAGGCGCCTGGCCAGCCCGAGTTTAGCAAGGATAGCAAATACTTCTCTGCGCTCAAGGGTGATCCCGTGATTTTAACTGCGGAAAGGGAGTATCATTCGTATATCCGCAAGTTGTTCGCGCATGGCTTCTCTGAGAAGGCGATGAGGGAGCAGGAGGTGGTGTTGAAGGGGTTTGTTGATGTTTTGTTTGCGAGGCTCAGGGAGGAGGGGGAGGGAGGACAGGCTGTTGATGTTTTGCAGTGGTATAATGTGAGTTCTCCGATGTCGAGGTTCACCATGGGGTTTGAGAGAACATTGTGATGCTGACTTGGTGATGCAGTTCCTTACCTTTGACTTTATCGGGTTCCTCAGTAAGTTTCCCTGGAGGTGCTACCTAACCGGTATTTTCATGTTGGATCTGACTCTTCTTGTCATCTAGCCTTTGGCGAGTCGTTCGACTGCCTGACTACGTCAACCCTCCACACCTGGGTCCAGATCTTCTTCGCCATGGCGAGGTTCATGTCGTTCCACCAGATCATCTCCCGCCTGCCCAAGCTGCTCCAGCTTCCCGCGACGCTGTTGACGATGCCAAAGACCCTTGCCGCGGATGTGAAAACGCTCAACGAACTTCAAAGCGTGAGTCTGCACTGGCCGTAGCCACGCACTCATCGTGGCTAAATGTTTCTGTATCGTGAGCCGTGCTGATTCCTGATTTGGAATGCTGTAGGAAAAGGTTCAGCATCGTCTTCAAACGGAGGCGACTGTCCCTGACTTTATGGAGAAGATGATTTCGGCCTACAACTCTGGCAAGATGACGTATAAACAGCTGGAGGGGAACTCGCAGATCCTCATCGGTGCCGGGAGCGAGACCACCGCGACTTTACTGTCGGGTAAGTTAGCAACTTTCCACAGGTAGTTACTGTACTCAGGCCGCACTGAATTGCATTCCATGACACTCTACATTGGAAAACCAGTCCCCCATCACTGACAACACCCCTAGGCCTCACATACCTTCTCCTCAAGAACCCCCGCGTCCTCGCCAAGCTCGCAACCGAAGTCCGCTCAACTTTCACTCACCCAGACGAAATCACCTTCACGGGTGTCAATAACTGCAAGTACCTCCTCGCCTGCATCGAAGAAGCCCTCCGCGTCTACCCGCCCTCCCCGCAACCGCACCACCGCATCGTACCCGCCGGTGGTGCGACCGTCGACGGTGTCTTCTTGCCTGGGGGCACGTCCGTTAGTATCCCTATCTATGCTGCCTCCCACAGTCCCGTGAACTGGAAGCTGCCAGAGGAGTTTATACCTGAGCGATGGATGGCTACGAAGGATGGTGGTCATGGGAATGGGGATGCGGATGCGGATGTCGACGTGCGGCTGTTTGCCGGGGATCAGCGCGATGCGTCGCAGCCGTTCCAGGTTGGACCGCGGAACTGTATTGGGAGGAATCTGGCGTATGCGGAGATCAAGATTATCATGGCAAGGTTGGTGTGGCAGTTTGATATTGAGAATGCCACGGATGGAGATTGGATCGGGATGCAGAAGGTGTTTATGGTTTGGGAGAAGGCGCCGCTGTGGGTGAAGTTACATCCTGTTTCGAGAGGGTGAACAGCAGCCAGACTGACGAGGAGGTCATGATAGAGTCCATTTGTTGTCGAGATCGAATTCACTCTTCTCTGGATTCAAATTAGTCTCACAGCTGCACTCTTGAATCTAGCGGCTGCCGTTACATGTAGTCTTGCAACAATGCATTCAGGCCCTCTTTCAACTTCAAAATGGTCGCAATGTGACCCGAGGAATCCAGGATTAGATATGCAGTCGATGTAAGAGTGAAATCCTTGATTATTGTACTTGTATTTGAAGCACGTTGTGGCACCAGACGCGAGGTTTAAAGGTGGAAGACGCAACAATATCTCACAATGATGCAACTTGGTTCAGCAAATTTGCTCAAGTCGATGTGGATTCAACCACCATCCCCACTCATCCATAAGCACAATAGCTCAGGGGTAGAGCGCTGGGCTCATAACCCAGAGGTCCCTGGATCGAAACCAGGTTGTGCTATTTCCTTTTGCCTCTGTGCGCTTTTGATGGTGGAATTCGTCGCTCCTTTGCGCCAGTTAGGGGGTTAGATTCTGTTGCTATTTACATTGGGGTTGTTCGGCGCTGGGTTCCACGGATCCCACGGCTTCCCCAATCCTTCAGAGTCCGAAGAACGCCTTCAAATCCACCAGTTGGATCATCCACATGGGCAGTCCAAACTCTGCAACTTGCCTCTTTAAGACGTTTCGAGAACGCTCATCATTACTGCAGATTGGAATACGAGATTCTGTGCTGTAGGTGGCTGACAGTTGATGCACCCCTTTATCACGCTACCTTACCAGAATGCAGGCCGCTACACACTTGCCCTGTCCGGGCTACCTAAAATACTCCAAAAGTTAAGGTAGATTAAGCTCGTGGATGCGCGCTAGTTTAAAAGTGCCACACCCGGCAGCTAAAACTGACAACAGCCCCCGGCTTCATCGGCTAGGGCAGATGGAATCGAAAGATAGGGATATCGGGGCATATCGACAACATCCAGGATGTAGATTAATCTAAGCTCGCCTGTTCACCTTGTTTTTGTGACGTGCTCCAAGACTGTAGCGGCGTGCGCTCGGCCCACTGTGATCTTCGAATACGACCTGCGGCCCCACGACCTTGAGTTCGGTTGTCGGCCGACGGTGACTGTCGCATTACAGTGTTGGAGGAGAGTTGGGCTTGTCTTCAGCTCACTGTCTCTATCATCTTAAGCCCTGATGCCCATGCTGAAGCTGGCATGAAGCTGGCCCAGCGTCTCTGGGTCTCGTCTTGATCCGTACACCTACTACTCAGCCGATTATGACAGTAGGAAAAGCAGACAAGATGCGAAAGCGAGGATATCTTTGCCGGCTTGGCAACTAGCAAGCAGCATAGTTCTCATTGCAAGCTCAGGTAAAGATCTCCACGAACCCCAATGGCCCGGTAATTTCGCTACCCATTCGGGAAGGTCCCAATTTCTCGTGTTCACTCACGATCCGTCGCCCGTCACTTGCAGGCTCGCACATGTGTTGGCCAATCCCGCCTCCAAGCCATCGAGAGAACTGGGAGAAACTTACCTGAGGAAGATAGTTGTATATATACGCTCACGATGTGCTCACTAGCCTCATGTGATGGAACTCCGGTCGTCACCGCCGGTCATTCGTTTCAATTCCAGCGCCCACCGCCACCATCATGAGGTTCTCCTCCAACGCTTCCCTTCTGCTGGGGCTTCTGGCCTCTGCGTCGCACGTCGTCATTGCAGCCGATGATGCTGCTGCACCGGCCGCACCCGCAGTTAACGAAGATGCCTTCGTACAGGGCGCCTATATCGTCGAGCTCAACGGCGAGCAAGATCCTGCAGCACTCTACGACGAGCTGCGTTCCGACGGCTTGGCCGTGAAGCCCCGCCTGGACCTTAAGTTCGGTCTCTTCAATGGCGCCTCCTTCAGCGTCGATGACGCCAGTGAGCCCGACATCACCACCGCCAAAATCGCAGATAAGCTCAGCGTCAAGGGCGTCTGGCCGGTCCGCAAGATCAAGATGCCCAAGCCTGTGGGCACATCCATCGGTCGTAACGGAACCGCCTCCAGCGCAGCCCTCCTGCGCTCCCTCAAGGACAGACGCGACGAAGCCGTAAAGGACACCTACAGCACCCACGTCATGACGCAGGTTGACAAGCTTCGCGAGGCCGGGTTCACGGGTAAGGGTATCAAGGTCGCTATCGTCGATACGGGCGTGGATTATAGACATCCGGCCCTGGGAGGCTGCTTCGGCGAGGGCTGCCACGTCGCCTACGGCTGGGACTTTACAGGGGACAATTACTACGAGAGCTCCGACGCGCCGACACCCGACGCGGATCCCCTCGATACCTGCCAGGGCCACGGTACGCACGTCGCGGGCATCATCATGGCGCAGGAGAATGAGCTCGGTTTCACGGGCGCTGCGCCAGATGTCACGCTTGGCGCGTACAAGGTCAGCGGATGCGCCGGGTACACGACGAGCGAGATTTTGGTGTCTGCTTTCTACCGCGCTTACGAGGACGGTAGCGATGTCATCTCGTGCTCTGCGGGCGATGACTCAGGTTGGGCGAGCGACGCTGCTGGCGTCGCTGTCTCGCGCATCGCCGTGGCTGGTGTCCCTGTTGTTGTTGCGGCTGGCAACTCTGGTAACTTGGGTGTTTGGGCTGTCGCCTCGCCAGCGTCCGGAAAGGCTGTCGCCGGTATTGGTTCCGTTGACAACACTGTTTTGCCTAACCTCATGACCCGGGGCTCGTTTGCCAACGAGAGTGGCCAGTTTGACTTTGGATGGGCTGACAGTACCCCGGTTACTACTACAAATGTCACTCTTCGTCTGTGGGTTGGAGGCGCCAATGTGACGGCTTGCAACCCGATTCCTGCAGATATCGACTTGACTGACTCTATTCCCTTAATATCCATGGACTCAGGGTGTCAGTCCGATGTTCAGGCCGCGAACCTCCTCGCCAGAGGCGCGCAATACATCCTCTACTACCCTGCCAGCGAGTCGTAAGTCTTATTCCCCGCACCAAAATAAACCTATGCCTAGGAGTGTGATTGCTAATGGGAGGTCAGTAGGATCTATCCCCCGTACGTCTACACCGAGGGCATCCTCGGCATCGGAATGGTCATGCCCCGCCAGGCCCAGGAGTGGAAAGCCCACGCCGAAAACGTCACTATCACCATCGGACCCCCCGAGACCTCCGGCCTCTTTGCCGAGCCTATCACAAACGGCCCAACCGCCGGTTACACAAGCCCCTTCTCCAGCTACGGCCCGACTTGGGAACTCGACGTGAAGCCCCAGTTCACCGCCCCCGGCGGCGGCATCCTCTCCACCTGGACTTGGGACCAGGGCGAGTACATGGTCAACCCGGGCACCTCCATGTCTACCCCCTTCGTCGCCGCAGTCTACGCCCTCGTCGGCCAGGTCCGCGGCACTCTCGATCAGGAGACTCTCCGATCCGTCATCGCTGCCACGGCCCAGCCAAAGGCCTGGAACGACGGTACCGTTGCCCACGATGACATCCTTGCTCCTGTGCCGCAGCAGGGTGCCGGCCTCGTGCAAGCTTGGGACGCCGCGCACGCCACCACGATCCTTGACTCCACGGGCATTTCCTTCAACGATACGGATCACTTTGTCGGCGAGCACACCTTTAGCGTGAAGAACACGGCTGCTGAGGAGGTCACCTACAAGCTCGGCCACGCCAAGTCCGTGACGGTGTACACCTTCACCCCAGGCGAAGCCCAGCTCAACGTTGCCCGTGCCCCGCCCCCGACCGTTGACGAGTGGGCGACCATCAACTTCGAAACCAACTCCCTGACCGTTCCCGCCGGCGGCAGCGCCGAGGTAAAGTTCACTGCCGTGCCGCCCTCGGGCCTCAACGCCACCCTGTTGCCCGTGTACAGCGGATACATCACTCTCGAGGGAAGCAACGGCGAGACCCTTTCCGTGCCGTATCTAGGCGTCGGCGGAAGCATGCGCGACACCCCTGTCCTGGTACCCGGCCTCGGCCTGAACGGGGTTTACCTCTCCTCCACGGACAACCACTTCCTCATCCCCGTCGCCGCAAACCGGACATTCACCATCCCGCGCCCCGGGTCCACGGGAAGTGCCATTTACCCCAAGATGGTCGTAACCCCGACCGTCGGTACCACCGATCTGCACGTCGAGCTCGTAGCCCTCGGCAGCAGCGGCAATTCTACGCTCAAGATTACTGATGTCCTTGGGTACCGGACCCTCGGTCCATTGCCGCAGTCGCCCGTCACGTACGCACACAGGTTCGGGTACACATGGAACTTTGGCGGCTTTTTGGCCGATCGGACTATTGTGCCGGAGGGAAGCTATGCGTTTATTGCACGCGCGCTAAGGATCTTTGGAGATGCGAGCAAGGAGGAGGATTGGGATGTTGTTGAGACTGTGCCGTTCATCTTGAAGTATCTTGCATAGATGCATAGCCGCGGGTCTGATGCCCGAGGAAGATGTATAGTGCAAGCCTAATTACATCGTAACTTGCCCGAGACTTCAAGCTGCCCTGTGTTCCTGCATGAAACCAGCGTAGTCAAAGATTGCCCGCTTATAGAAACGCTCTTGTGTCGTCTGGTTATACCCTTGCACACCGTACTTGTCATCATACTGGCCCCATTCCCAATTGTCGAGATAAGACCAGCCGTACAGCCCCTTGACGTGGACACCATCAATGTTGATTGCTTTCAGAACCTCATTCAGGATGGGGATGTAGAACTCAGACTGTGCCAAGTCACTCCGGATATGATCTGTTGACATGTCGGAGGCTTTGAAAGCAGGGAGTCCGAACTCTGCGATCGTGATGCCGCCTTTGGTAGGGTAGGTGGCCTGTAGAAAACCGAGAATCGCCCGGACGTGCTCAGCTGGCACCTGATGATGTTCAGTCAGTTGCATCCTGACAAAGACGAAGGACTTTTCACTTACCGCAGGCCTGTCGACATTACCATGAAAGTTTGCCTCCCACCCTCCTCGCGAGGTGGAAGTAACGGTGCACTCGGGATACAAAGGATGTTCCGAATCAGCAGCACATGCCCCAAAGCCACTTTCAGGCTCTGAATGATATGAAGCAGTGTAAATATCAAATGCAAAGAAGTCAGCAGTCCCATTGAATAACTCGAGCTCCTCAGGTGTATACGAAGGGACCCTGTCACCAACGGCATCAATCATAGACTGTGGCACATTCTCACCCAAGAAGAGCGGACAGGACTGGACGCCGACGGCGGCGAGGCGGGCGATGTCTTGTTTGTAGAGGTAGTAGTTCAATGCCGCGATGTCGGGCGGGCCGGCGCCGGGGCTGGAGGAGTAGTTTCCCCTGGAGCGGTTCTCCCAGATGCTTGGGCCACGGCCTTCGCTCTGTATGGCTCCTTCTATTTGCAGGGCTGCGCCGGCGAACCCCCATTGAAAATCCTCTGGAAATGTGAGGGTCTTGTTGGATGTGATGTCTTGTGACGGTTGAAGTGGTAAAGGTGGCGGCTTGATGAGTTCAGCGCTGGGGACCGGAGTTGGCGAGGCGGTTGTGGTGAATGATGGTGAGAGGACGGGGATTGGGGCCCAGAGGGAAGATAGGGCGGCGTTGCCGTATTCCATGCCGTGATCTGTGGGAGTCGTATCGGGAGCATTCCAAGTCGTGGTCGATCGTGGTTCGAGTAGAGTAGAAAGCTGTGAGTAAGGCCTGGCGTATGTAGGAGCCTCCTGTGCTGCGGAGACAGGAGTGGCATACTCTAGAGGCCTATAGGATGGCCATTGATACGCTTCTTGAGCAGCTACCTGTACAAGACAGCTTTCATATGAATATTAGCAAAGAGTCAAGTCTTTGGGCTGATGACAACGCGATGGTAATGACCTACAGAGTCAAGATGGGCGCCCGCTGGAGGGGGGTTGACTGGATTCTCATGATGATGGCTGCCCTGCGATTGACTGGTAGATCCTACCAGATAACCCGAGGATTTTATGGTCGGGGAGTTGAATTATGGCTTTATAGCAACCGATACTTTGTGATGTACACGAGCTTGACTTGGCTGATGGTATATTTGAAGTCGGGATAATCTCAACCGAGACCGCAGTAGTGCCGAACTACGGACAGCGACTTTGCTCACATGGTGAAGGAAGCGGAGTTCGATGGCCTTGTTCCTTGCTATAAGCTGTCTCTCGCCATATGTATAGCACACACATAACTGACATAACCCGGTAGTATGTCGGCAGGATTAAGGAGCCGGACAAGGTGTCGAGGGCTCGCGCGGATGCTACATACCTTACTAGAGAAGAATATCGGTACATCTGAATAATGTGATTGAAGGAAATTACAATTGGTTGTAAACCCTGCGGTTTCCCCACGGGGAAGTCAAGATATGGTTAATCGCGGGGTCACGGTAGCCAGACTTTTTCCCAATAACTGGATGAGAAGTGGCATAAAGGCGGGGAAATCCCCACCGTCGTAGCAGTGTCATTCGTCTCCTCCTCTGGTGTAATGTGTCCGGGGCTAGAGAGATTGGAGCTTTACGCGTATGGAATACGAAGCAACGAACCTGTTATCCGAGGTTTGGTTTTCATGGAGTTGAGAGAGTGTCATTTCCCCGCGTTGGTGGCCACAGCCGATCCCTCGGTTCGAGAAAGAAAGTGGTTCGAGTTAAAGTGACCATCACGAAATTGGACAATAACCTCACAATCCATGCACATCTCGCAGTTTTGGGTGGACTTAGTTTGTGCATTGGGAAATCAATGTTCTCTTGTAATGTGTAGCAATCGTATTCATCGAGGCGCCATTAGGGCGTATGGAGACCTCCCGTTGAAGACTTGAAGAACTTAAACATTTCTCACGCCTTTTCCTGATTATGCCGAGTTCCATCAGATACGAATTGGTAAGGCTCATCGCGGATCGTCGGTTCGTTGTCGTGAATTTCTACGACTTTACCGTTCAGACTTGGAGTACCTATAATCTTCGATACACCCTTAATCAGGGTGGACATTGGTGTGACTACCATGTGCTTGTACATTTCTGGGTCGGGGATGATATTCGTGACTGACACGGCGTTAGTAATCTCAACTCGATATTGTGTCTTGATGTTTATTGAGTCTCTTGCCTAGAGCTGCTGGGGCCATCGTGTTGATCTGAATCTTGAGGTCATCAAGTATGGGAGCCGTCGATCGTACGAGACCGATAACACCAGCCTTTGCAGCCGCATACATCGGTCCGACTGGAAACGAATAGAGAGCGGCATCTGACGCTGTGCAAATGATTGAGCCTCGAGAGTCGCCAGATACTTCATTCTTGCTAATGTAATGAATAGCAAGTTTCACAGCTGAGCAGAAGATGATGTTCAGCCTCAAAGTCATGTGCAAGCATGAATATACCAGAAGGTTCGCTTGCGTTCCTTTAAACTTACAGTAGATGACACCATTTAGATCAACGGCCACCACCTTCAGGTTCGGCTCCTGGGGGGCGTCTGGGTGGATAGTCGCCAGGGCATTCGACATCCCCTCTGCTATACCAGCATTTGCAAAGACGATATCTATCCGACCGAATGCATCATAGACATCTGAGAACGCCTGCGCCTGTTCTTTCCACGAAGATATATCACACTGGTGAAAGGTTATCGTGGATTGAGGATACTCCGAAGCGACATCGGACGCGATGGACTTTCCAGAGGCTGCGTTGACATCAAAGATGGCGATCTTGCCGCCTTGAGAAGCGAAGTGGCGTACGATGGTGAGGCCGATGCCGCTTGCACCGCCGGTGACGATGACCGATTTAGGGGTGGTGCCAATTGCCATTGTGACTTATGTATGAGAGTGATAGGGGGTCGTGAACGAAATAATGAAACATGGAAGTCCTTCGCGAAAGGCGGATGAGCACGATATATCAGAAAGACAGAATAGGCCTGCGTTTTTCGAAAGCTTATTTGCGTGTCGACACCCTCGTTGGAGCCAAGAGTCGTCGCTGAGACTTGATAAACGGCGGACTAGATAGAATCATGTGCCAGAAATAGCGGAGCAAGATGCACCCATTGAGCATCAAAACTCCCCTGAACCTTGTTACAGCTGTCGTCTCATTGTGAGACAAGGCTAGAAGCACCGCCAGAAGCCAGCTCTTGTGCAGAGAGTAACCGCCTCCGGCTGGCCTTCGTGAGTATACACATCTAGCATTTGGTGACCATATTCAAGGTCGGAGTGATAGTTGATTGCAGCTGTTAACCTTCGTCTCTTCGGAGACTTTATCCTGTAGTTCTATTGGGCAGATGTTGGCTTTTGACTTTGGACGCATTAGCGAATCGGAACTATTGACCTGGCGCAGTCGAAGAGGATAATCCCAGCTCTTTCGGAGTCGAAAAGACGAAACGCCAGCTCCGAGAAATCCAGTCTGAACCTACTCTCTCCGAAAGCATTTTTACACTGCTTTGGAGCAGCCCTTACCGCTATAAGCTCCGTTTCTTCAAGAGTGATCCTGGTGCAGACAGGCGCATTTGATCCAGGTCGGCGGTGCCCGCCGGCGGCGCGGGACACGGTCCACCGCCGGACCTCCCGGGTTGTATCCACTCTGCACGGCAAAATTGCCGAAACAACGGGTGGCCGTCCGCTACTCCGCGTAGGCCTGGATGCACCGACACATGGCATACCGCTTGTGCTATGATAAGAAACAATGTTACTCGATCGTCAGATATTCACCTATATGGAGTTGCTCCCCATGATCATCATCGAAGACCTGTGCCGCCTTTCACTCTGCCTAGAACACGTTAGAAACGCTCTTTCTCTTATAGATAATACCAAATACAACGCGCGAGCGCCATAGACTAGTTCTCAACAACAGGCAAAACCTTCACGACACAGCACTCAACATGGTTGCAGCCCGCAAAGATGAGCGTATCCCGATTGCGATCGTCGGGATGGGATGTCGCTTCCCAGGTGATGCTACATCACCATCCAAGTTCTGGGACCTCCTGAAGAATGGAAGAGGTGAGGAAGACCGGTGCTCTCCATGAGATCCCTAATACCAATGTCTCTGCTAATCTCCAAAAAAGATGCTTACTCCCCGAATACGGATCGGTGGAACTCAGACGCCTTCCATCATCCCAACAGCAAGGATCGCGTAAACACCTTGGCCACAAAAGGAGGCCACTTCCTAAAGGAGGATCCCTACCTATGGGACGCATCTTTCTTCAACATTACGGCAGCAGAAGCCATGGCTCTGGACCCGAAGCAGCGCATCATGATGGAAGTCGCATACGAGGCACTCGAGAATGCCGGCATGCCTCTACCCAAGGTTGCCGGCTCGCAGACTGCGTGTTACATCGGCTCCTCGACAAGCGACTACAGAGATATGGTTACCAGAGACTTTGCAAACTGGCCCAAGTACTACATCCTCGGCAACTGTGAAGAGATGGTATCGAATCGCATCTCGCACTTTCTCGACATCCATGGCCCCAGCGCCACCATCCAGACGGCGTGTTCCTCAAGTCTGGTGGCTACGCACCTGGCATGCCAGAGTCTCCACTCCGGAGAGTCAGAGATGGCAATCGCGGGTGGTGTCGGCCTGACGCTCACACCAGATGGCAACATTCAGCTGGCCAACTTGACGTTCCTCAATCCCGAGGGTCACTCGAGGTCGTTTGATGCGGATGCTGGTGGCTATGGTCGCGGTGAAGGTGCTGGCGCCCTCATCCTCAAGCGGCTGGACAGGGCGCTCGCTGATGGTGATCCCATCCGTGCCGTCATCCGGGCCACGGGCGCCAACTCGGATGGCTGGACGCAAGGTGTGACGCTGCCTTCGGGCGAGGCGCAGGCAGCGCTCATCAAATATGTCTACGAATCTAATGGACTGGACTACTCTGCCACCCAGTATGTCGAAGCTCACGTAAGTTACGACCAGGTATGTACGATTGAATTCAAAAGATAGCCATGCTCACAGTGAGACTTTCTTGTAGGGCACAGGTACTAAGGCCGGAGATCCCCTGGAAGCCGGAGCGATATCTAGGACCATTGGCTCAGGTGCGACTAAGTCACGGAAGCTATGGATGGGAAGTCTGAAACCAAATGTAAGGACCCCGAGATTTCAGGTTGCTGCCTCCTTGTAAGACTGACTCGAATTCGAAGATCGGTCACTTGGAAGCTGCCGCAGGTGTAGCGGGAATCATTAAGGGCGTCCTGGCTATGGAGAACGGCATGATTCCCCCGAACATCTACTTCAACAAGCCAAACCCCGCCATCCCCTTCGACGAATGGAACATGGCTGTTCCGACAAAGCTGACACCTTGGCCCGTCTGCAAGACCAAGCGGATGAGTGTCAGCGGCTTTGGCATGGGCGGCACAAACGGGCACGTCGTTTTGGAGTCTTTCAACTCGGATCAGTGGAAGTCATTGTTGCCCGCCAACGGGGTCGCCCAAGAGACTCCAAACAACAAGAAGAGACTCTTCGTCTTTAGCAGTCACGATCAAGCTGGTTTCAAACGCATAGGCGACAAGTTGGTCGATCACATGGACACTCTTGGTCCCGCTGCTTCGAGTCCAGAGTACTTCGCGAAGCTGGCTCACACTCTATCTGTTGCGAGATCGGGCTTGACATGGAGATGGAGTTGTTCGGCTGAAAGCGCCGCTGAGCTCCGACACAAGCTTTTGACTACTGCTGGCGACAAGACTACGAGGACTCCGGATAGCAAGCCGAGAATCGGATTCGTTTTCACTGGCCAAGGAGCGCAATGGGCCGGCATGGGCGTCGAGATGCTCAAGTCCCACCCGGTCTTTAGAGAATCCGTCGCGCGATCTGCGGCCCTTCTCAAGTCCATGGGCTGCGACTGGGACCCCGTCGAGGAGCTGTCGAGGTCGAAGCAAGAATCACGTCTCAAGGCGCCCATGATCAGCCAGCCTATCTGCACCGTTTTGCAAATTGCCCTGGTTGACGAGCTGCGCTCTTGGGCCGTGACACCTAAGAAGGTCGCTGGCCACTCGAGCGGAGAGATTGCAGCGGCATACTGCGCTGGAGCGCTCACCCACCGTGATGCCATTGCTATCGCTTACTTCAGAGGCAAGGCTTCATCCGGTCTCGTCGGCCTCAAGGGTGGTATGATGGCTGTGGGCTGCTCTTATGACCAGGCACGATCGTTATTGGCGCAGCACGGCGAGAGTCTCGGTGGTGTCGCAACGGTGGCCTGCGTCAACTCACCCAATAGTGTTACCATTTCTGGTGACTCGGCTGCTCTAGAAAAACTGCGAGCCATCCTCGAAAAGGAGAGCATGTTTGCTCGCATGCTTCAGGTAGACGTCGCCTACCACTCTAGCCACATGCAGGGTGCTGCCGCAGACTATGCCGCTTCCATCGCCGACATTGAGCCAAATAGCTCAGAGGAAGACGAGACCAAGCGTGTCACCATGGTATCTAGTGTCACTGGTAGTGAGGCTGCACCTGAGCTGCTAGGAGGCTACTACTGGGTGCGCAACCTGGTCTCGCCTGTCCTGTTCGAGCAAGCAATCAAGGAGATGGTCTCTCCAGCAGCAACTGAGGAGGCAGGCGGCAAGATTCTGGACCTATTGATCGAACTTGGTCCTCACAGTGCTCTTGGTGGCCCTATCGAACAGATCTTGTCTCATCACGGCATCAGCGATGTCGGCTACAAATCTGTTCTCACCCGCCTCCAAAGCGCCGTCGACACGAGTTTGCAGCTTGCTTCCGAGCTTTTCGCCGAAGGTGTGTCTCTGGAGCTTCAAAAGGTCAATGGCGATTCTCATTGTCAGCTTCTCACCAACCTACCACCCTACCCCTGGAACCATTCAAAGGTCTTCCGCTGCGATTCTCGGATTGCGAAGGAACTCTTGGCACAGAAGTTTCCTACGCGAAGTCTTCTAGGAGCGCCGGTTCCAATGATGGACGAGACACAGAGAGTCTGGCGCAGCTTCCTGCGTCTTGAAGACGAGCCGTGGCTTCGTGGACACATGGTCGGCAGCACCGTGCTTCTTCCTGGTGCCGGTATGACAAGCATCATTCTTGAGGCCAGCCAACAGCTCGTCGCACCGGGAAAGACTGCCAGAGCTTTCCGCTTACGCGATGTCTCTCTTTTTGCTGCCATGGCACTCCCCGAAGGAGTTGCAACGGAAGTAATTGTCCACATGAGACCCTATCTACAGTCTACGCTTGGATCAACCCCCGCAGCGGTGGGAGTTTACCATGTCTTCATGCGTCGGAGGTGATCAACTGAGGGATAACTGCCGTGGACTGATGACGATCGACTACCACGAAGACACAACGCCGCAGATGGCAGAGGAAGATACGATCATTGCAGCCTCCAGAGTCGCGGACTACCACCGCGTTCACAAGGAGTCAAGTCTCGGGTATGCCAAGGAGAACTTCTACAACCATATGAACAGCGCTTCTTGGAAATACGGAGAGGCTTTCCAGGGTATCGAGGGCTGTCATGTCGGCGACGGCCAGAGCACCTTCAACATCAGAGTGACGGATATCGGAGAGACATATAGCAAGGGGCAGATTGAGCGACCGTTCCTTATTCATGCTGGTACCTTGGATGCAGTCTTCCAGAGCTGGCTTAGCAGTACGTGGATCGGTGACAAGGACGGAGGCTTCGACTTTACCAGACCTTTCGTTCCTGTTCACTTTACTGAACTCGAAATCGCGGCCGATATCCCCGGCGACGTGGGCTATATCATGCCTGGACTCTGCCTCTCTGAGCGTTATGGCTTCACGGACTTGTCTGCGGACATGTTCATGTTCGATAAGGATGTTTCCAAGCCTTACCTCGTCGTGAAAGACTTCCGAGTTGCCGAACTCAACATGGACGACGGCGGAGGTCGCGAGGATAATGAGGTTGACCCAACCGACATCACCTCAGAAGTTCGCTGGAATTATGCCTTGGATGTTATGGAGCCACAGGAAATCAGCCGGGTGGTCTCTGCTATCAAGCCCAGGGATAGAATGGCTGAGGTATGCTTGTAATCAATACCGGTAACTTTTCTCGGGATGCTAACATTGACGATACAGGTCATTCGGATGGCACTTCACTTGAATCCAGCAGCAACGCTCCTACAGCTCGTCCCAGACCACGATGCCGTGCGCAACTCAGTCATCGCAGGCCTCCCTGAGGATATAGTGCGCCCGAGTCAAGTCCGCTACGCAGTCATCAACGCAGCCAAGAGCCCGTTGACCGACAGGACTGCGGTGGTTGGTGAGCCATTCGAACTTGGGGCCCTGGATAGTCCCTTGCCGGAGAACATCCCCAAAGCCGACCTCTTGATCATCTCCAGCGACGTGGAAAAGATACACAAGCGCGACCAATTCCTTGACCGCGTTCTCAGCCTCACCAACCCAGAGGCTACAGTTCTCATTGCTGCTAAGCAGCAGCCCACCCCTGCTGGACTGGAAGCTAGAGGCTATGACTTTGTCTTTGGAGTCGAGGGAGATGAGCGCCTTGCGCTGTACTGGGGTGCCAGGAACGCGAGCACGAAGCCCGCGGTCAACGGCGCGTCTACCCGGCAGGCAGTCATCATGGAGCCGACGACAATGTCCAAAGAGACCCGACAATTCTCCAAGTCTCTGCAGGAGTTGCTTGTCGCTCAGAGCTACGCAGTGTCAACGAGGACTTTCGCCGATGAGCCGAAATCCGATGTGGCCGAGACTGAAGTTCTCATTTCCCTGCTGGAACTTGAGAAGCCGCTACTCGACAACTTGTCGGAGAAGGAGTACGAAGTTGTGAAGGCCTTGTCTTTGACGTACCAGCGCCTTCTCTGGATCACCTGTGGCAACAACCCATCATTCGGCGTGATTGATGGTCTGTCTCGTTGCGTCGAGAGCGAGATTGCGGGCACCAGGTTCCAGGTTCTCCATCTTAGCCAAGAAACAGGTCTGCAACACGGACCGACACTGGCATCCCGCATCTTGAATTCGGAAACCACAAAAGATGACGAGTTCCATGAGCGCGATGGCGTCCTGCAGGTGACCCGCATCTACAGGAGCTTAGATGAGAATAACTCTATCAAACATCACTTGCATGATTCGACCCGGATTACACCTGTCGGTGCCGACGAAGACCTGAGGCTCTCGATCGAGAGGCCTGGTCTGTTGGACACACTGCAATTCATCGAAGACGACCGGCTGAGTGCCCCTCTCGCAGACCACGAAGTCGAAATCAAGGTGAAGGCCACGGGTATCAACTTCCGAGATATCATGGCCACGATGGGACTCATTCCCATGTCTGTTTTGGGACAAGAAGGCAGCGGTGTCGTTGTCAAGACTGGCAGTCAGGCAAGTCGCTTCAAGCCCGGTGACCGTGTGAGCTTCTTGGGCGTTGGTACACATGCTACCAAGATTCGGGTTGACCATCGCATTATTGCTCATATTCCCGACACCATGTCGTTCGAGGAGGCCGCCGCCTTGCCCGTCGTCCACACCACCGCCTACCATGCACTCGTCAATCTTGCAAAGTTGACCAAGGGCAAGTCAGTTCTGATCCATGCTGCTGCTGGTGGTGTCGGCCAAGCGGCTGTCCAAATTGCCCTTCACCTGGGTCTGATCGTCTATGTCACTGTTGGTTCCGAAGACAAGCGAAAGCTGTTGGTTAACACGTATGGCATCCCTGAGAAGCACATTTTCAATTCTCGCGACGCCAGCTTTGCAAAGAGCGTGATGCGTGTTACGAATGGTCGCGGAGTCGACTGCGTCCTCAACTCACTGTCCGGAGAGCTTCTTCGGACATCGTGGGAGTGCCTGGCCACCTTTGGCACTTTTGTCGAGATTGGTCTGCGCGATATCCTCGACAATACCCGACTCGACATGAGACCGTTTGGAAAGAGCACGACTTTCACGTTCTTCAACCAATTCACGCTCTACGAAGAGGACCCGGCTGCGCTAGGCCAGATCCTCGACGAGGCCTTCAAATTGGTCCACAAGGGCACACTCCGTGCTCCGAGCCCCTTGACGGTGCATTCCATGGGCCAAGTGGGAGATGCATTCCGCACCATCCAGCAAGGAAAGCACCGCGGCAAGATGGTCATGTCGTTTACGGATAACGCAGACGCTCCAGTCTTGCGCAATGCCAAGAACTCTCTTAAGCTGAATCCTGATGTCACGTACCTCCTTGTTGGTGGTCTCGGTGGTCTGGGACGCAGTCTGGCGCGGCAGTTTATCGCTTGTGGCGCTCGAAACATTGCCTTCCTCTCGAGATCTGGAGACAGCTCCCCGGATGCAAAGGCTTTGATCAAAGAGCTGTCTGGCATGGGCGCGAACGTCAAGGCCTATCGCGGTGATGTGTCAGACCCTGCTTCGTTCCGGTCCGCTCTGGATCAATGCGATCGAGAGCTTCCGCCTGTCAAGGGCGTAGTCCAGATGGCCATGGCTCTTCGCGACATCGTCTTTGAGAAGATGTCATACGACTGGTGGAAGACTGGGCTCAGGCCCAAGGTGCAAGGCACATGGAACCTTCACGAGTACTTCGACCGTGACCGCCCTCTGGAGTTCTTCATCATCTGCTCGTCCATCTCGGGTATGTATGGCTACCCTAGTCAGGCACAATATTCCGCTGGCAACACATACCAGGACACGCTAGCGCACTACCGTCGGTCACAGGGGCTCAAGGCCGTGTCGGTCAACCTAGGTATTATGCGTGACGTTGGCGTGCTCGCAGAACAAGGAGCGGCAGGCAACTTTTTGTTGTGGGAAGAGACTCTGGGCATCCGAGAGCCGGCATTCCATGCACTCTTCAGGGGCCTCATCAATCGGCAGAAGAGCGAGGACCCAGCTTCATGGCCGCCAGCTCAGGTGACAACAGGACTGGGCACCGCAGACATTATGGCAGCACACGGTCTCGATCAGCCGGGATACTTCAGCATTCCACGTTTCGGACCTCTGGCTGTGACGAGCTCAGCGACCAGCGCTTCGGGTGCTGGAAAGTCGGATACTGTCTCACTTTCTGCGCGCTTATCTGAGGCCGCTAACAAGCAGCAGGCGTTGGATATTATCACTGAGGCGCTGGTGAAGAAGGTGGCCGACATCTTGCAGATGCCTGTGTCTGAAGTTGATCCAGGTCGACCTATGTACCGCTACGGTGTTGATTCTTTGGTTGCGCTCGAGGTTAGGAACTGGATTACGAGGGAGATGAAGGCAACTGTGGCTCTTTTGGAGGTTTTAGCTGCGGTCCCTATGGAGGTCTTTGCTGCTAGGATCGCCGACAAGAGTAAGTTGGTGGCGTTTGAGTGATTACTTCATGTTAGGACTTGAGGGCGGCGTTCAAAGGATTGGATGATGGGGGCTTTAAAAGCTTTTCTTTTTAGATCAAATACTTGGAGTTAGGATTGTTTCCTATAGAGCACATTGGAAATTATAGAGAAAACATGTTTAAGGAATGAGCGATCTCCCAACGGCACCTGAATTATTCCGGTCCATCATCGCTGTCTGGTTTTTGTCCATCTCAATTGAGCAAAACTTTGTTGGGCAAGGAACGCGATGCAGAGGTGGTGAGCGGCTCACGTCAACGTGCAGCGACGGTGATCTGAAAACTGATAATTTGAGGAAAGCTTTCATGCTTGATAATCTACTCGTGAAACTCTGACCTGGAATCGTTCCTCGTCGCGACAAGTACCTAGGATTGAACCGTGAAGCTCTGGCGAGCTTAGACGGACGGAGAAAGGCTTTTTCCTAAAGTATTTTTACAGCACCACCATTTGCGCAGACCACGCTCCCACTGACCCATCGACTCTTCTCAGATGACAAAAAGCCAACGATTTCAGCTATATCACCAACTCTACCAAGTCTCTTCTCTACACTGCATGCATTTTCCTTCGCTTCAAGGAACTGTCGAATTTCGGGGGTATCCGGCATTTGTGATGCCAATTCAGTCTGGGTAACTAAAAGGAGACGTACAGCTTTAGACGTGAAGGTTTTGGACATTTTTGTGGTTGACGGAGTTCGTGGAAAAACTTGGAAAAACTTACTGCCAACAGCAACTGAGTTCACTGTAGTCCTCTCCATCCCAGGCCGTGTCCCCAATGCGTCAGCCCATACGCGAGTCATTGATTCCAAAGCGCTCTTGCAACCGCTGTAAACCACTGTGGTCTCAAAGATTAGTGACCCATACCGTCTCGATGAAAAGCTATGAGGGTAGGGAAGAAATTGTGGAAGTGACGTACAAGCAACTGGAGAAGGATCTCGACCTCCTTCAGAAGAGATATTAATGATACGGCTGTCAGGGCGAAAATACGGGAGAAGTGCTTGCACAAGAAATACAGGTGCTTCAACGTTGGCTGTAAGCAAGCGAGTAACGTGGTCCTGGCCGATCAAGTCCACTGGCGCAACTTCCACGACCGCAGCGTTCTGTACGAGGATGTTCAAGCCCCCGTACTCTTTGACTGCGTTGACAATAGCGGTACAATACTGTTGGGGTTCTAGAAGCGGCGCAACGACAGCTGTAATCCGTGGTGCGGAGAATCTAGTGTCTTTGCTGTACAGTGAAGCCACCTCGGCTTTCAAGCCTTCGATTTTGCTCAGGGAGGACGGTGCAGAACATGTTCCAATGATGCTCGCACCGCGGCTTGAGAGGTGGAGGGCAATGCCTCGTCCGATACCGCGCGAAGCACCTCTAGGAACCGAGCCATGGATCAGTAGGAGCGACAGATTAAAGAATGGCCTAATGATTGAACGAAAATAGGAAATTGACATTACCTACGTCACAACTGCCACTTTGCCGGCTAGGTCATGCTCTGAGGCCTTGACACTTGCAACTTGATTCTCCATGTTGACGATGGTTTGTAGATGAGGATGGAGTTGGTGGACGTAAGTAGCGTATGCTCTAGTCAATAGGAACTGCGAGCAATCATGTTAGAGGGTACAGATACTCTGTCCGTACCTTGGTTAGGTACCCCTAGTCACAAGATTACAGTGCTCAGCTGGTCCGAGACTGTCCGGCTCAGCAGTAACTGGCTCCGAAACTTGCTCCGGCTCTTGGGCAGACCGAACTGTGACCTCTAGCAACCTAAGGCAACAGGGCGTCAAAGTCATGGAGAAGGGAACCACACCTGGGCATTTACATTGAATTAATTATCAATTGCACGGACTAGACTCCCATTTGCTCTCTGAACGCTTCCATATCCAACAACGTGACGCTTGTGTGCATTCTACACTCATCGAACCACACGAATACATGCTCTGTGAACTTGACTCTTTTGCCCGTTGGTTCTATCCCATTCCAAGTTTTGACTGGTGTCCATTCAAACACCACTCTTGCTGCAAGCTGCTGTTTCTCCTCATCAACAATGAGACTCTCGAGCGTGTTCTTGCAGTCTGCCATGACATCATGGCACTCTTCCATAGCTTCTCTGTACTGTTCGCGGGTTATGGAATGTCCATTGAAAGTTATGTGATCATGGGTGAATTTCGACAAATTTTCGTCCATGGTCCTGGTAGAGACGCAGTTGAAGTATGCGCGGTACGTCTCAGCGAGCGAGAAGCCTGGAGGGGGAGCTTTAGCGCTCCAGGTTGGGGGCCGTACCGCCCGAGAGTCGCTATTGCGTAGTGCATCGACATCATCTATAACCTTAATGTTGGAGATGGTGGTGCCCTGAACTTGCTGAACTTGGCAGAACACATGCCTCCGAAATTCGATTACCGTAGCGGTCGATGAAGCAGGAGAGTCGGCCTTAGGCGAAATCTGCACGAGAAGTATCGCAGCTAAATCTCCAGTAGAAGCGTCTCCAATTTGGTGAATAATTGTGATATTCACGTTACTTGAAACTTCTAGATGCTTGAACCCGGCCGGTAAGCTCAAAAGCTGAGAGGCCGAGTGTCCAGTCGACGAGAGCTTCGTCGTGTCCTCGTTGGGGAGCCGGCAGTTTAGGCGTTCTGCATACTCTTGGAAGATGGATTGAATAGCCGCCATTTCACTCGAGGAGGGTTGTTCTGAGAGTATTCTTGTTTGACGCAAAGAAGAGCACGCGTCAAGCGAGGTAAAAGTTGAAGCAAAGGTTTCCTTGAGTAAACTTACAGGAAGTAATCAGCCTACACTGTTCTGGACACTACCAATCCGTCGATCTCGAAAAAGACCTCAAGGATAATAAGAAACAGAAGGCGAACTTTGGTTCACTTGACGTCCGCTTCAAGGCCCGCCCCTGCAAAAGTTGCCCGGAGCTTCGGAGTTCGTGGTGGGGATGGCAGACCGGACCTGGCTTTCCAGCGGCCTCACGCTCTCTCGGACTGATCCTGTTTCCCCTCCGAGTGTTCTATCCGCGGCTGCTCACCAATTGCAGGGGCACGGGCAGGCCTCGGAGGCAACTTCCCTGAAACATCTCTCAAGTTACACTCTAAAAGCTGTTGATTGAGAGACAAACCGTGATTCAGGGAGACAAGGAATTGAACTTGGGGACAGACTATCTCTAACTGGAAAAAGATTAGCATTGTCGCGCATAGGTTCAGCACTGATACAAATGCTGGAACTCGAGAATAGCATGTAGGGGCCCATAATCAGGATACTTCCACTCTCCTGAACTCTGGGAAACCAATATGCTCTATTCCCTACCCCAAGATCTTCTTTTCATAGACGGCCCACGAATTGCCAGCTTCCAAGCATTAAAAAAAATGTCACAAACATCGACTCAGACTCAAACAAAAAGGCTGGATACAGCAAAAGGTGCAGATGCATACAATCCAAGCAACCTGAAGACCTACGACACCCTCGTCTTTGGTGTTGTTTCACCTTACGGTTGGAATTGCTCGGCCGAAAAACTCATCGCCTTCTTCAACCGCAACATAGCTCGCGCTGCAGAGCCATACAAATCCAACCCAGGAGGTCCCCCACTCACCCGCATCCTCGACATTGGAGTTGGCACAGGATACTTCCCTGCCAGAGCTCCTTTGCCTAAGTGGACTGAGTATGTTCTCGTTGATCTAAACGAGACGTGCCTGGATGTCACTTTACCCGTCATTGAGAGGGCACATCCAGAGGTTGGTACCAACGCTACGAAGGTTGTCGGCGACTTCCTAGCTCAAGGTGATGAGCCGAAGAGCTTGTTTGCGGAGGGAAACAGTTTGCCAGAAGGCGGCTTCGACGCAATCTCTCTCATGTTCTTGCTGCATTGCCTGCCTGGCCCCCCGGCACGCAAAGCGGAGGCTTTAGGACGCATGGGTCGTTTGTTAAGGCCTGGCGGCGTCGTGTTCGGAGCTACTATCCTGGGCAAGGGCGTGAGTCGCAATCCGCTGGCGCGCCTTGTTTTGTGGTTGAATAACTATTTTGGGGTCTTTGATAATCATGAGGACGATGCCGTGGGCATCTTGGTGCCCCTTCAAAAGATGTTCAATGAGGTTCGATACGAGGTGGTTGGTTGCATGCTTCTTTTCGAGGCAAGCGATCCCCGCTGTTAATTAGCCCCCGAAGGTAGAAGAAGGTCGTTGGCACAAGTGTTGCCTACGACTAAGATATACAGGAAGAACTTATGCTTATCTTTACGTACATTTATTCATACATTGAGTGATATTCAAGTGCCTTGCATTGCTTCCTTTACACGTTTACGATTCCTGTCTCAGGGGGTCTTAGAAGACAACGGGAGCCGTTGGTCTGGAAATATAGATAACAGTAAGTCTACGGGAAATGAATCAGACGGGTGAAATTCGATCAAATTGAAGATTCTATAAACTTTATAGTATGGATCTTATGGAAACAATCTTATTCGAGATTACTTTACCCTGTCAAGAAGTCTGGGAATGGTACTCATCTCGAGGACGGCTAAGTTGCGAGTGAGTAAAGATGAAAGAGAACTCAGGCCCCAACAAACATCCCAGAAATCATTGCACCTCCAGCGAATCCGACGCCCATAGCCCACGATGCTCGAAGACCTTCTGTATACGCTGCGATAATTTGAGGAGCAATATCTGCTGAGAAAAGCTTCTTAAGATCTGTGGATCCTGCAGCCAAAATCTGGGTAGCGGTGAGACTCGGAACGTTTCGCAAAGCATTCTGCAACATGATGTTGCTGAAAAGGTTCTGGGTAGCTGATACTGCCAGTGCGCCACTGAGCAGTTGGAACACTGCAATGATGGTTGTCTGTCAGTACGATACTCCCTTGTACTAATAACGATTCAAATGTTGGCCTCGGAGAAGACTTACGTAGAACGATACTTGTTGCCTGGGGGACGTCTTGTACATCAACTGTGGCCTGGACAGCTAAGACCGGAACTTGAGTTCCTAAGCCATAGCCGAAAGCTACTACGAGCTGGTAAAGCAGGTACTGAACTGGTGTAGAGTCCGGACCAAGAGTGAGGATCAGAGTAGAACCTAGAACAGTAAGGGCACCAGAGAGTACACAATATAGGCGGTCATTTCGGTATTTGGAGTACGCCACACTAGATAGTAGTGTGAGGAACGCTAATATGTAAGTATGAGACGAAGCATTAGATTTAAGCAAAGGTAAGATGACTCACCTCCACCGATTAACAAGGGAAGAACATTGACACCACTCTGTGCTGGAGTGAACCCTTTCGTCGCCTGGAAGTAGACGGGCAAATTGTACTGGATTGAGTACGCAACTGAGCTAAGCCTACGAAGGTATTAGTAAAAAGAACCGAACATCTCGAGAGCAGGGGTTACGCTTACATGAACGCGAAAATGCAAAGGAAGCCGATCTTCATGTTGGTCAAGAACCTTGCTTGAAGGAGGGCATCCTCTTTCATGAAGTACTGCTCAAACCCAAACAGCATAGCAATCGTAATCGAACCCATCAGAGTACCGACGACGAAGCCGGAGTCCCACTCGTGTTTGATACCTCCGGACTCCATTGCAGTGACGAAAAGGGCGATGATGCCAGTGATAAGAACGACGCCCATCAGATCCATTTGACGTACAATGCTCTTCCATGGTGCCCTGACGGTCTTGACAGTACTTGGAATCTTGAAGAAAAACAGAACGATGATTCCGGCGATGACAGAAAAGGGTATGTTGATCCAGAAGCTACGATACGCAACTTGTCAGCGTTCCCTCTCTGTGCATCTTACACGCTGACTGGACTTACCACCACCTCCATGAGAACTTTTCTGTAAGGAAGCCGCCGATAATAGGACCAAGAGAACTCGCACCCGTAAAAATGGCGCCAAACGCGCCTAAGTAGATTGGCGTTTTACTACGAGGTGTGACGAGCGCCAGGATAACATAGACGCCGCCAGTCAAGCCGGCGGCGCCAATACCCTGAACCGCACGTCCGGCAATGAGGAAGGCGCTGTTGGGGGCAATAGCACACAGGACGCTTCCGACGGCGAAGATGATGAGCGCTGTCAGAAAGATCCATTTGGGAATAAAAAACTTGTATAGCTTGCCCCATGGCACCTGGAAACTTGCTATCGTCATCAGATATGCAGAGCCATACCAACCGGCATCTGCGAGGGCCTTGAACTCGGTGGTAATGACGGGAATCGCGGTGGCGACAATGGTGGCATCGAGAGCGAACTAATTCGTTGAGTGATACTGTCAGTCATAAGAGTCTTTATTCTGCCGCCAACTTTTGCATTTGTGGTTATTGATCGTTGGGGCTTTACCTCAAAAAGGCCCAGCGCCAACGCCAAGATGACGAGAACTAGAGTGATGCCCTCGGGATATTTGCCTTCATCTTCATCCGGCTTGATAGGATCCGTAAGTCTCTGCCCGTCATCGATGTTAAATTGCAAACGATCCGAAAGTGTGTTATTTCCGGTAGAAATACGCCTCAAGTAAGGCTCCGTATTATCGTCAATATTTTGAAAGAACCAAGAATCCACCTTCGTAGACTGACTCTTTGCGGCGTCCATGTTGAAGGTTTGGACTCTTTTCGTAAAAGGGTTTCAATGGTTGATCCAGTCAAATGTTTACTCTAGCACCAGGCGAGGGTAAAAATTCGTTCTCAATTCTGAAGACTTTGAGCAAGGATTCAATAAGATCTACTGATTGGAGATCAGTGTAGTCCAAGCCCCCATGCTAATGAACGTCACATACAAATCGAACATGGCATGTGATACAATTCTAGCACCTAGCAAAACTTTCGCAGCTGCATGCACGGAACGCTTTGCTATCTGACTACCCCCGGACAAGAAACTACAATACTTGTTTGGGTCTACGGCACTACGCCGATGTCTGAACCAGAGTATATTGAGGTATCTGAGGCGTGAAACTAGTGCTGGGACTTGGTCCGGAGAGATAATCCCGGGCCCTTGAGTAAGGTCCGGGCCGGCGGAGTAGCCTCCGAAGCTCAGTCGGAGACATTTCCCTTGGCACAGGCGCCTACGGGCGCCCGCGGAAGCGCGAGGTTACATTTAAGACGCTAGGACGACCTCCATCACCCATCTTATTGACACGAACTATTAATCTTCAGAGATCGTTACAGCATGGTTGAGACTCTGCTGACTGGGGCTGGCGTGTGCAGGCCTTGCAAAACATGTTACACTAGGCCTGCTGCTTTGCTGGGCTTGTCCAGGCCGTGTACACAAGATGGTTGCTGTTGAATCTTCGTGCAACCGGCCAATCTCAGGTCCAAAAGTAGACCACCCAGTGACTAGAGGCTCATCTATGAACGTGTAATAAAGAAGTGTTTTAGATATCATCGTGAAGCCCGAAGAATCTGTTTTGCACAATGGGAATTCAGCATCTTCAGACTTCTCATTTTTGAATCATCGCTCTTTGCTACAAAAACATTAGGCCTGCCAGTGGCTCAAATTTCCGACGCCATTAAGCTTGCCCAAACTTTAGCAATTTGATCCAAGAACATCCAAACATGCCTCTCGGGATTATTGACGCAAAGCTTGGAGAGGGTGCAGTTCTTACGGGGACCGTCCATCTTGTCAGGTCGTCCTCTAGTACCAGTGATTTAGCCCACGACGTCCCGAGACGTAGAGGCACGCTCATGAGAACAACCTACATGGTAAGACCACGTGTATTTCCCAGCATCGTGTCAAACATCACATTCACACACCTTAATTAGGGAGTTGACACGGTCTTGGTGCCTCAACCATCCTTGAAAGACCCAAATGACCCATTGGTGAGTCAAACCCCCCACACAGAGAGCAAATAAGACTCGTCTAACACGCAAGATGGTGGAAGCTCTGGGCCAAGTGACAGAAGGAAGCGGCTTTTTGGGTCATCTTTTTCAACACCATCATCTTCGCTTCACTGCCCGGTCCCATGCTCAGCCCAGCCACGTTTGCTCTCGCCCCCATCCTCGGCGTCAGTATCACCAAGGTTGCTGAGTTGTCTGGTTACCACCTCCTCATCGTTGCGGCTATAGGGTTCGTCAACTTTCTTTCTTACCTGAAGTATTCTCCCTGCCCAAGCCTTAATTCTAAAATGCTCTGTACCGTAGGCCTTTGGTATCAATCTTTGCGCAGAAGTATGGAAAACGCCCACAATTTCTCTTCGCAGCCATTACCGGAACCCTTGGCACCGCTGTCTGTATAGCAGGGTCCCAGAGATCCCATTACAGCACGATATTCGCCGGTCGTATGATCCAAGGACTAGGCGCTACAGCTTGGGAAAGTCTGGCGCTTGCGGCGATTGGGGATTTGTTCTATCTCCACGAACGCGGCTGGAGAATCGCCATGGTCGTCGCCTCGTCAGCTTGCACTGTTTCGATGACATCAATCATCAGTGGAGTCATGGCAGAGCGCCTCGGCTACAAGATGTTGTTTATTGCTGAATTGCCATTCGACATTGCAGGTCTCGTCATGACGGCTGCTCTGCTTCCTGAAATGCAGTTCAAGCGAGCGGCTTTCACTCAGCAAGACCTGGCCTCCAGCTCTCAATCCAGCGGCGACGAGGAAATTACAGCCGTCAAAGGGCCCCTTGACACCAATATCACAGCCAAAAACAAAATTGCCGAGACCGATGTTGTCATCGTCCCAAAGAAAACATTTGCGCAGATGCTAGCGCCATGGTCTCGTCAGACTTACACGGAGAAGAGCATCGTTCGCCTGCTAGCTGAGCTCTTCATCAACTTTATCAACCCAGCTGTGCTTTGGATTCTGGCTGTAAGCGCAGTGCTCAATGCGTGCTTTGTGGCATCCAGCTACATCCTGTCTCAGATCTGGTCAATGCCTCCGTACAATCTCAACATTGAGCAGAATGGCTTTTTTTGGGCTGGCGCACTCATTGGTGGTTTATTCGCCATTCCTGTTGGCTCAATCTGCGACTGGTCTGCAATGACAATGTCGAAATGGAACGGCGGCGTGTACGAAGCAGAGTTCAGGATCCCTGTCAACATACTCGGTGCCGCCCTCAGCGGGCTCGGATGGTTCCTGCTTATGTGGGTGGTCAATCACCCCTATGCGAATGGGTATTTCCTAGGGGCCTTTTGCTTAGGCTGTATGGCGTTCAGTATCTCAGTTCCCTCGACGTCGGCCGGGCTCTATATCTTGTGAGACTCTTCTCCGTTTATAAACATGATGGGCACATCAAGCTGATAGCAACGGTCTAGAGACACATTCCCACAACGGTCTAGTGAGATTTTCATTCTCCAGATGATGCTAAAGAACTTTCTGTTTTACTCATTCTCGACCTTCATCAATACATGGACTACTGAAGCGGGTCCCGGAACTGTCTTCATGGTCCTGGGGATCGTCTCACTAGGGCTGTTCATCACTTGCGTTCCTATGTGTGAGTGGCATCAGATTAACCTTGAGTTCCATGGCAATTTCTAACCGCAAATCACAAATAGACATCTTCGGAAAGTTAAACAGGAAATGGATTAACAATCTTTATGCCCAACACCGTTTCCTTCTGGAACTGGCCGAAGGAAGCAAGGTGCTGTCAGCGAAAGATTAGATTGACGTAGAGTAGACAGGAATTGCAAATAGTCAAGTCTGAGGGGCATGTCCCCCTTTAACTTGACCTTGAAACGGGTTCAGAGGCAGCTTCGTGTCGGAGCTATCCACATGAGTGTTTATATCCGGAAATAGTGGCCAAGTTCATGAGAATAAAACATGCCGAGCAGCTTCACTGGCATCTTCAAAAGCTAAGATCACCTTCATTGGCACAGATATTGAGGCAATAGTCTTGGTCAAGTTCTTCCTGGCCGTTGCGTCAGATACTGGGAAAAGAATCCAGTACGGGCTTGAATCGATAAATCAACCCCGCAGTGGAATCCTGAACCCGCCTCAGGAATGTGAATGACAGTGTATTGACGCACATTATATTAATGCAGTACTTAGTCTGGACAGTGAAACTGAATTTAAGTGATATGCATTCATTCCATGCTCTATTTTCAGTTCTATAATGCTTGGTAATGACTCTCACATCACACACACCTTTCGATTCAGAACTATGTAGATCGCTTTCGGAAACGAACAACCACCTGGGGCAACTGATTCATAGCGTATCTTCTCAGATTCCATTCCCAGTCCATCTCGTGTTGATTCATATGCTCCCAATCCAGGGCCCAAACCATCTTGGAGATCATCAGCTGCGCCTGCAAGAGTCCTGTTTTGCGACCGATGCAGCCTCGCGTACCAATGCTGAAAGGCTGGAATACAGACAGCTTATCATTCTCAAATGTCTTGTCATAATCTGGATGGTCTTTTGGAAGCCATCTCTCGGGGTGGAATTCTCGCGGTTCCGCAAAGTAACGCTTTGAGTGGAAAACTGCCCAGAAGCTCGTTTGAACGCGGTACTAGAGCACGACATCGGTTAGCAGAGATCTTCTTAGATAACTAGACACGAAACATTCGAGTTTACCCCTTTAGGTATGTAGTGGCCATCAACGAAGCCTCCAGGACTGATGCGAGGTAGACCTGAAGTGCCCTGAGTAGCTAGTCGAAGACCCTCGTTGATGACAGCATTGAGCCACGTAATGTTTTGCACGTTATCGGATTTGATTTCCTCGTAGGAAGCAAAGCGACCACGAATATCGGTCTTCAACTTCTCGAGTTTGTCTCGATGCATGCCAAGAAAATGTACCGATACCGTAAACATGTTGGAAGTGGCTTCAGCGTTGCCTATGACCACGTTCATGCTTTGAGCAACAAGAAAGTCGACTCCAGGCGGTTCTTCGCCGTCTCTGATGAGAGAAGACATGAAGTCTTCGTGTTCAAGAGAATCGCTGGTCCGAGTTCGATCATCGATGTACCTACTATTGATATGCTGGAGTTTTGGCGCCACTGTCGCTAAGCTAGGACTCAAGGCAAGCAACACGAACGGGTAAAGAAGGGGAAAGCGTGCAAAAACCTGGTTCACGGTGCCCCAGAAACTCAACTTGGAGAACGTTTCCAGGAACTCTCCGGCTTCACCTAAACAGTTCGACAGTCCAACGGTAAGAAACTGATTTTCCTCTTTGGTCCACATATCTTACCGTTTGCTATGTTGCCATAGTCATGTCCAAATGTCAAGTCGCCGGCAAGATCCATGCTGAGCCACTCATTCCACTAGAAGGTCAACTTTAGTCAAACTCAAAGATGATCTTTCAGGACTTGACATAATTACACTTACCTCTGTTAAGTTGATAGGACCGTTTCGGCAAGCCTCTTCGACCTTGCGAACGAATCGGTCGTAATGCTTGTGGAAGAGCGGCTCTTGCCAACGTTTAATCGCATTCATGTTGAAGCTTGGTTCCATGGCCTTTCTCACATGACGATGAATCTTTGGGTCCGTATCAGCAGCGAAACCTTTGTGCTTTCCTGCAAGAGCTCCCAGCTCTTCGGTCTTCAAAAATGCCTGCGCATCGTTTGTCTTGCCAGGCATCAAAACGTCTAAGTAGGAAAAAAATCGTGTTGTTAGCCCTTGATGGTACGCGAAAATGTTGTCAATCAAATTTCAAAACGCACCGACTATTGCCTTGTACCCGAATATGGCGATCTCATTAGGTGCAATTCGTACGACATCTCCATATTTTTCAAAAGCCTTCTCGACTGCCCATGGCCAGCGACCTCTTAGCCTACGGATTGTTAGATGAAGGGAATTGCAGCCTACGCGAAGAGTGGTGTACTACCAGTAGTATGCAAACCATAATTCTGAGATTGCAGCAACCTTAGGGCCAGGATACTTTGCATATGGATGTAAGGTCAGGCGATATCCTATCAAGAGGAGCCAATATGCCGTGAACTGGGTTGTTCTTTAGCGAAGCCCAAGCCTTGCTTGGGGAAATCGTAGATCATGTTGACTAACCAATAATACGATGATTGAAAGCCATGAGCTGAGCGACGCGTCTTTGAGATGTTCCATGGCAAATTCGCTGATTCGTTTCGTTGACGCAGCATGGAGCGCATCCATGTTTATTTCCCTCGTCATTTTGTGCATTGTTTTTGCAGCGAGTTGTTCTCGCCCGAATTCGCAATCCATACAAGGAATCACTTTTGAAAAGGTCGAATAAAGGCAACTAATCTTGCGGAAACGCCTAATTCCCTCGAATAAAATGATATATTGAAGAGGCAGATACTTTTGTGGCTAGATTGCAGAACATCAATCCGAGTCAACTTCTCACGTTGTAGGGGTCAAGTATCACCACTGAGACTACTGGTTGTAGCAAAGGTCGATGCTTGAAACCTAGTGCTGTCTCTGCCACCCTCCTAACGGTGCAACACATATTGGTCCATGCCTGCTCTAGTGTAGGTCCTGCGAGCGAGTCATTGGGAAAGTTTCGGCACGCGTGATTGTGAGGGTCTCGGAGAGCATCGGACGTCTCGAAGGCAACTCCGGCGTAGACTCCGGAGTGAATGGTTCAGTTCCATTTCGTAGGTCCCAGGGCAACTACTGCACAAGTCCTTGCGAAACAGTGTGTTGCAAAGTCCAGGCTGCAGCCCCGCCCCTGAGATACCTTCATGGTAGTCTAACAGTGAACGCTTGGAAACCGTAGAAGGTGCTTGCTAAGCGACTAAATGTGAGAAAAAATGATGAGCGAAATGGTCAACTATACGAGGCTCTTGGTCATAATTGCTTCTCATTCATTAGCCGGGAGAATTGAAGTGAGTTAGTGTTTAGTTGAGCTCGTTGGGTTACAATTGCCGGGCTTGTGCTGGATCTCGATGAGTTGTTGAACAGCTATGGTTCGAAGTGAGGAGAACAGAAAGCGGGAACCTTGCCGAATATCATGTATTGGAGAAATCAATTTTCAATTGGGTTTGCCATTTGTCAGAAGCTCAGTTGTAGAATTGCACCTCGTTTGCACCTCGTTTGCTGTTCCCTCGTTGCTAGGATCGACTACCCTTTCACAATATCTTGACGGTTCCCCCGTTAGCGCATACGGCGCTCCCGGATACCCATCGACTCTTCTCACAGCACAGCCAGCCCACAACTTCAACAACATCACCAACCTCGCCCAGCCTCCTATCTACGCTGCACGCTTCCATCTTTGACTGTATGAGTTGCCGGACGGGTTCGATATCAGGGAGGCCTTCAGGTAATCCGTTCGCGGTGTCGCCCGTCTTCGTGACCCCGACAATTAGCGAATTTACGGTCGTCCTCTCCATACCAGCCCTTGTTCCCAGTGCGTCCGCCCAAACCCTTGTCATGGACTCTAGCGCTGCTTTACAGGCCCCGTAGAGCAATGTCACTGGGGCTGGCTGACTCTGGCGTGCTCCCTCAGACGATATATTGACGATGCGACTATCCGGGGCGAAGTGCGGCAGCAGGGCTTGAACGAGTTGAACTGCGGTCGATATATTCGCTGTCAGCATGCGACGTACATGTCCTTCATCAATGCCTTCAATTGGCATTGTCTCTTGCAGGGCTGCGTTCTGCACAAGGATGTTGACAGTGCCACTGGAATGTTGCTTCACTCCAGCCACGATGCTGTCGCAGCATTGTGTAGGCTCTGTGAGAGGCGCAACCACGCCGAAGACTCGTGGAATGACGTGGTTGTGAGGATTCTGCTCTTGATAGAGAAGCGCAATCTCCTCCTGCAAGGAGATGACATTCCTCAGCGAGGTCTCATTAGAGCATGTCGCTAAAATGCTCGCGCCCCGGCAGGCGAGGTGGAAGGCTATGCCGCGCCCCAGACCTCTGGAGGCGCCGCTAAATGTCAAAGCTAAGGTCAGCTTCAGTGGCTTGGAATAGTGCTGCGAAGCAAAGTCTTAGTCATTCGCAGGTTCACACTTACGTGACAATAGCAAACTTCCCTGCCAAGTCTTGTTCTCCCACATGGGCATTCGGGAGAGTGTATTTCATTTTTACTGAATGGAAGAGAGCGTCTTCTGAGATGTTGTAATGAGAAGCATCGACTGTTCAACTCTGCCAATCTCAGATGGGTAGTATCAGGGTGTTATGTATCTTGAGGGCTTGAGCGGCGTGAAGTAAGGGAGTACTTCTATCGGCGGTCTGTAATCTGCATCTTTTGTATTACATGTGCCGAAGAAGACCACTGTAGCCTCCTACTTAAGCTTGTATTAATTATGTGGCTGGTGTGTACCACACTGCTCGAGTCCCGTCGGAGATGCGGAGGCCGGGAGGACAGTTACTTTTACCTATGGTAATTCAGTCCGATTCGGAGATGTGAAACCTTTTGCTGGTTCGAAGAACAAAGCACTTCATTTATGGAAGCTGAAGCCAATTGATGGCCTGAAATTGTCAATTGCACATGAGAAATGGTGGGACCCCTAAGGTATGATATTTCTCACGATTTCTGGATGGGCTTCGTGAAGGCTTGGCCGGAAAGTTCTCCAAAAACAGGTCCTTAATTCATTGTGCTAATAATCTAAGAACCATGTGTTTCAACAGCGAGAATTGCAAAGAACCTAGAGGGCATGAAAAAAGAAACGGTCTACAAATTTCAAGTGCTATCTAATTGCTTTCTTGAAAGTAGGCAAGAGCCTCTTCAATCTTCTCCCTCATGAGGTGCACGTGTCCTGGCATCGGCATCTCAAGATGGTCTGCATCAACAGACAAGCACAGTCCGACCTGTCCCACATACTTGTCCCAACCATTCGGGCCCAAGGCCCCCTCAGAGCCACGCTTGTCAGGAAAGCCCCAAGCAAGAGCCCCTAGAGCTGGATCTTCCATAAAGCCAGGATAGGCTTCTGCAGGAAATCCCATGCTCACCATTTCGCGCTTTAGTTCAGACTTGCCCTCACAGCGACCGCCCATACCCTTCTCTGCCCAAACGATGCTTGTTTTCTTGGGGCGCTGGTGGGGAGTCATGGGCTCCGGGTGGTAGGCTGCTACAGCTTTGAAAATTCCAAGCAGATGTTGCATCGGCGCAGATTCTGCCGTCGAGTTCCAGAAAGTGTCCTGCGCGGCCATCTTCTGGAACATTTGCCAACCTGCTTCGGGCTGGACTTTGACAAGACTCGTTTCGGTCTTGGTACGTGGTGAGCAAATGTCGATGATCAGGAGGCCATCAACCTCCCGACCGAGGTCGCCTAATTGACGACAGACTTCATACCCAAGCATGCCACCACCAGAGAAGCCACCGATGTGTAGTGCGCCATGTGGCCGAGACTCAGTCACAGCATCGACAATCAGCTTCGCAGCTCCTTCAATACCGACCTCGGCGTTCATCTGCTCCGGGCAGCGGACAAAAGGCGAGTCGACGCCGTAAATTGCTGTCTTGGTGTTGAAGGGTGGTAGATGGATGTAGCTAGCAATAGTGCCGGTTCCGTCGGCGATCATGTACAATGGTGTCTGGTCTGCTTTCGGACGGCCGTGAAGCAAGATCACTCGGGCCTTTGGCGGTGGAGAGATGGTTTCTTGCTTCTTCACCATGGGAGTCGGAATGGACTGAACTGGCAAAAGTGATTCACTCTCCGAGATTGAGATTGAGGTGACGACTGGCTTTTCAACATGTTTCTGATCCAGCAGTACCCAGTGAGAGGTGATCTCTGGTGTTGGGCAGCTGGTAGATAGGCTTTCATCTGACATCTCCTCCTCACTGATCGACGGTGGTGACGTGGATGCTTGTGAGGATGATAAAGAGTGAATAGTCTCACTAGGTACCATTGCCCCGCTGAATGCCTTGCGCAGGTCACCTATTGTCGGATAGTCCATGAGAGTCGATACTGGGAGATCGAGGCCGGTCTGCTTCTTGACTGCCGCGGTAATCTCAATGGCCATGATAGAGTCAACCCCGACGTCTGCTGTAGCGGTATCATCCGTGAGCTGGTTTGAGTCCGTGCCAGTCTCTTTCGATATGTTCTCCAGAATGGAAGTAAAGACCCCGGAGTCAGTTGAAACCCGTGAAATCAACGCCTCTTCAACCTTGGTCATCTCTGAAGCATCCGACCGGCTGTAGGCATGATTCTTGGCGGAAGGTTGCGCAGACTTCACAGCTGCTACACTGGTGGTCATCAGAAATTGAGAGTCGCTAGGTGCTGCCACCGATACTCTTGTCTTTCCCAGTAGCCGGTCTAGGACAGTGTTGCTGACCTCGTGGAACCGCAAACCTGAACATTGCATCACCATCTCCGACGAGTCAGAGTCAAAGACCCAGACATCGCAAGTTGCGGCGTCCTCAGTTCTGCGCGAGACTCTGGCGAGGCTGAGGTAAGATTTGCCCGGCACCAGAGCTCCAGAATCTGGCAACTCAACGCTCTCAAGATTGTCCATCATGAAAGTGGTATCGGCGGCACGAAGTCGGCTTGGATTCGCGTTCAGCACAAAGCCAGCCAAGTGCACCAGGCTTTCACCGTGGTATGGTGACGAGGTGAAGCAGGTACCGACAGGATCAGACCCCAGGACGATCTCTGCAGCAGCCTCCTGGAAATCATCGGATACATACGCTCCTTTGATACCCCGGAAAGCCGGAGAGTACCTGACAGTGCTCGAAAAGAGGGCGTAGAATATCTCGGGCTGGATCCTATGGCCGCGCCCCTCCTTGGCGCTCTTGATTACCTCGTTCATCCTGGCCTGAATGAAGAAGGATGTCTTGTCCCAACCTGCCTTGACAACATCCGCCTCGCAGATGAAGACTGTGCAACTGCCCAAATTCAGCTCTGACGACTGGAAAGATACTGTTGCCTGATTACGAGACAGCTTCTTCACATTCGCTGTGGTGACAAGTTCTTCAGCCGAGCCATTGGCCCTCTTGCGGAGCGGACGTTGAAGCGAAAGATTGCGGATCGTCAGCGCAGGTTGCTTCATGTCTCTCGTAGTGCCAATGGCTTCAAATACGTGCTTGGCGGCAGTGGAAGCGGCATCGCAGAACGCACTTCCGGGGCAGATTGCCACATCGCGGATCCGGTGTCCTTCAATAAGGGCATCTAGCCCTGGATCGGCAATCAGGGCCCGGAAGGTAGCTTCGGACATGGTGTTCGTCGAACTCTCTGTCACAATATTCTGTGCACAGGTAGAGATGTGCTTCGGGCTGAGCTGACTACCCGATGCAAGGCTCCCGCGTACCCCGTCGCCCTTCTCAGTGTAAGTGATCCAGAAGTCCTGCAAGTCCCACGCGTATGTCGGGAGCGTCAACAACTGAACGCTGCTTGAGTAAGGGCGATAAAGTCGGAGCCAGTCGATATCTAAGCCTTGATCGTATAGCTTAGCGAGACATTTAGAAACAGACGTCCAATTGTTAGCACTCTTATCCAGCGTCGACATGATAGAACCCGAAGAAATAGATGGACCCAATGTCGCTTGCACAAAGGAACCGCAGACCTGGCTTGGCCCCAGTTCAACCCAGACCACTTCGCCAAGATGTTCCTTTACAACCATGATAGTGTCCGTGAACTGCACTTTTTGGCGAGTTTGTTGACCCATGTAGTTTGCATCGAAGGTTCCAGAAGCATCGACAACCGTTGCAAGTAGGGTTGAAGCAACTAGAATCTTGGGCGACGAGTAGGTTACACCCCGGGCGAGAGTGACGAATTGGTCGAGAATGGAGTCCATTTGGAAGGAATGAAAAGCGTAGGGGACTGAGAGTAACTTTGGACGGAACTCTGCCATGTCCGCTGCAAGCTGCTCAATGTCATCCAGCATTCCACCGACAACGGTGGTGCGGGGACTATTAGAGCAAGATATGGAACAGAAACCATCCTGTTTAGCATCAATGTAGCTCTGCGTGACTTCAGAGGATGCAGTAACCGCCAGCACTGGAGGTGACGCGAAGTTAGTAAAACCTCTTCAGGTACAACACTTCGAGTTTGCGTTTACTTACTTGTACAAGCGCCAGCCTCGCACAAGTCGGAGAGTAACTCTGCGCGTTTGCCGACTAGATACAACACATCGGTCAAAGAGAGCACGCCAGCGACGTGAAGAGCGGCATATTCGCCTAGGGAGTGGCCCATGACCATGGAGGGCTCCACGCCTGCTTCTGAACGCCACAGAGCGGCCAAGGCAATTTCCAAAGTCAAGACGGCAAGCTGAGTCTGGGTTGAGAGCTTCATAGATGCGTCAACGTCACGCTCTGCGATGAGGTCCAAGAACAACGGGAAGCCATAATCAGCACAAATTTTCACGCAGTGATCGACCACTTCACGGAAGACGTAACTTGTCTTGTACAACTCATTGCCCATGCCGCCATAATGGGAGCCCTGGCCGGTGAAAACGAAGACTATTGGCTTCGACGTAGAGAGCTTGTTCTTCATGACATCGCTCTGGGTACCATTGTCTGACCTCAATTTTGAGATGAGCTCCAGTGTCGATGATGCGACGTATGTGGACCTGAGCTGGTGATGCGATCGTCTCGCGGTAGTCGTGTAGGCAACATCTTGAATACGGGCGTTGGGATTGGCTTCAAGATACTGAAGAAGCTTTCGTTTGTTGGACTGGAGCGATGCTTGCGTCTTGGCAGACGTGACAACGATGTGATTTGACCACGGTACTTGTACGCCCTCATCAATAGGCCGCATAGTTTTGTAATCCTCGATAAGTAAGCAAGCGTTACCTCCCGCGGCATCGAAGTTGTTCAGCATCAAGCGTCTCGTTTTGTTGCCCGCGAACTTGAGTTCCTTTGCCTCAGAGAGAATCTCAATTTTGGAAGCTTCAAGCGAAGGGAACTTGGGGTTCAGCTTCTGCGGCATGCCTGCTTGTGGAGGTATGGTGCCCTTCTGGAGCATTAGGACACACTTGAGCAACGATGACATTCCAGCAGCCTGTTTGGTTTCTCGTCAGTCTCAAAAGACTCTTTGGTGACAACTCTGATATGGACTCACCGCTTCGCTATGGCCAATATTGGCCTTGATAGAACCCACTACCAATGAATCGCCACGGCGGCCCTTGAAGACGTTGGAAACCGCACCTATCTCAGCGGGGTCGCCAATCTGGGTTCCAGTCCCGTGCATCTCAACATAGGAGATTTCATCTGGAAGAACTCCAGACCGCCTCAAGACTTGGCGGTAAAGCCGTTCTTGCGCGCCGGCATCCGAAGTTGTAATGGAAGGAGAGTTGCCGCTATGATTTCTCCCCGAACCCCCGATGACAGCGAGGATATTGTCGTTGTGGGCAACGGCGTCGTCAAGTCTCTTTAGTACCACGCTTCCGACAAAATCAGCTCGGCAGTAGCCGTCTGCGTCCTCACGGAACGGCTTGCAATTGCCTGTGTTCGACAAGATGCCAGATTTGCTGAGGCTCGTCCAGGAATGGGGATACCCGACGACATTTGCAGCACCAGAGACAGCCATGTCGATATCGTGAGACAGCAAACTCATACACGCGAGGTGAATTGAGGATGATGTGGAAGCGCACGCAGAGTCCAGAGAATATGTTGGTCCCTCCCAGTTCATCTGAAAAGCGAGACGACCGGCCCCGAATGCTCTCTGTGCTCCTTGCAGGGTATATGCATCGCATCCTTTGAAATGGTGTGCCATAGCATTCCAGTCATCATTGCTTTGACCGTAAAAGACACCAATTCTGTTAGGGTCGATATCTCTAGTCTTGCCGTCGGAGTACCCAGCCGTCTCAAGAGCCTCATATGAGCTCATGAGGAACTGTCGGTGGCCAGGATCCATGAACATGGCTTCTCTAGGGGAGATGCGGAAAAATCGAGCATCGAACTCGCCAGGCTTCTTCATGAAGCAACCGAATCTCGCCGCCGTTGTGCATTTGACTCCATCGTGGCTGTGCTCTGCTGCGAAGAACTCATCGAGATCAAACCGATCTGGTGGTATTTCCTGATGAAGATCTTTACCAGTCATGAGAACATTCCAGAACTCATCCAGGTCATCACTCCCAGGGCCCCTTCCAGCCATGCCGACGATGGCTATGCGATCAGATGGGATATCTTGTTGAGTCCTATGGTTGGCGCCTATTTCATGCTGAACCGTGATGGTTCTTCCCGGCTGCTTTAATGCCGTTGCAAGGTAGGAGGTGTGACTGCTGGTGCCGATGACTTTGATGTCGACTTGACGGCATGATCCAAGATGTTTGTTCATCCCAGTAACAACCTCGACAATGTCGAGAGGTCGAGACACAGATTGCGATACTGCAGTTCGTAGCAAATCACCAAAGGTCTCATAGGTAGCCGAGGGATCGTCTGTACCCCAAACTCTGTGTTGTGAGTCGAGAGGACTTGTTACAAGGGTAGCATCTCCAACAACGTAGTCGATATCAGCTGGAGTCATTGGAATAGCGTGTTGGAGGGATCTAATATTAAGCTTATTCCTTGGGAGGCCACTGACAGCTGGGCACTCGTTCAGGAACTGCTCCAGAACAGATGGGGGACCGATGATACTGGCCCAGCGGTCCCCAGTGACGCCAACTTGTGCCCGTTTCACGGTTGGAATGCCCTTCAAAGCCGGTCAGAGTTCTTTCACAAGACTTCAGGTAGGGTGTTCATTCAGACTTACAAGGTTGATCTGGAATTGCTCCAAAGCAGACCGAAGGTCCTCGGTCGAGATCCCTAGGACGGCCCAACCCCACGTCCCTGAGCGATCCTCCGTGGCCCTTGACCGGATGTAGCAAAACCTGCAGACCCTGCACAAGAGCCCAGCCGCCTCGAGACAGCCAGCGTAGAGAGTATCAAAGTCGTTGGCAGCGGCCAAGGGTGACAGGCTCATGAGACCTCCTGAAATGCCCAGCCACTCGGGCCCGTCATCCGACTTTCGTAAGAGACCGGGTTCACGCTTGATGCATCTGGAAACTTTATGTCAGTGCTTCATCTTTGGACATCACTAAAAGGTTTAGACATACTGAAGGAGCATGGCTGCTCTCATTGTGTAGATGAGGATTGCATTAGCAACACCAGTCTCGTCGACTGCATGGCGGTATTTTTCAGCCAATTCGTAGATGCTTGAAAACTCTCCAAGACTCTCTGTGATGATACTTTCAACGTTCTTCAGCTCCGATTTGACCTTCGTGCATAGGTCAGTCATGAAACACTGAAGCCATGGCGCCAGGCCAGCCTGCTTCATGATGTAGTCGATGCCATCGACCCATGGATCGGTCTGGTCACCGAAAAACAGAATCGTTTTCTGGGAGTCTACCATCTTGGGCATTAATGGTGGGGGAAAAGGGTACAATCGCACACTTCAAATGAAAGGCGTTTCCCTCGGATGACTTCTGCAACACCCGGAAATTTGAAGTGTGAAGAGATCTATCTCGCGGGGGAAGTAGCAGATATTGACACAAATGGTCTTTCGAAATATCAAAGATAAGAAGTTACAGAGCTATACATGTGTATCGGTACATGCATTCATTGACAATCGTCGGAGACATACAAATGTAATTCGAGACAACTATTTCATTACCGCTTACCCGCCCACTTAAGGTAGTTGAGGCCATCTCATGAACTTGATACACAAAACTCTCCACGATCGTCGATAGGCAGAGACTGCACGAACACTGGTGTCTCGATCGGGAACATAGTCTGGAGTTGGTATCGAGCGCTGCGTTGTTGTCTTCATGAAACCTCCGATTGGACCAAGGTTTCTTAGAATCATGGTTGAGACAGCATCGCAGCCGGCGGCGATTTCCGAACGCCCGTATGTGGCTTGGGTCAAGGCCTGGCTCCGAACTTCCTCCGCCGGGCACAAGCCAAGTCAATGCTCTCGTATAGAGAGAACGGCGACACGGCGAATTAGAATATCGATGCATAATAGGGCACATATGATCGACATCGGCTATAAGCAACTTCGAAGTTCCAGATTCTGAAGCGAGGGAGTGACTGGCGCCCGAGCCTGCGGAACGCCTCAGTTTATGGGACGCCAAGACCTCGTGTCATCCCTACTCAGGTTTTGATCCTAATACAAGCGTTAGGTTTGGAAGGAGGGTCAGGTATACGGCGGGTTGGCAGTGTGTATAGCTGCTTTCGTAATGAAAACGAGTCATTTGCTTGCAAACATACTAAGTCTTAAGCATGCAAATTTGATATGCAGTCGGCTAGCCTACACTGTGCGGGTTTGTTATACTTGCACTGCACTTCCGCCAGGTATCTCACAACTTGTAAAAGTCGCGGACCGCGTGCCGGAGACAATTCATATGTGACCGGAGGACAAATCCTGAATTCGGAGACTTGTGTATGCCTAAGTAGATAGCTATGGGTCAGAGAACTCTCTGGGTCGGATTTCGACAGGTTTCGAGCCATCACCCCTGAGACAAGTCGTAAGCAGGCCTACCTGGACTCTCATCCTTCAGCCTCTGTTCGTCCCTGTATGTGATTCTTGGCTGCAGGTTAATGTTGCACCGACATCTTGGTTCAGCTTGCCGCCCGACTTGACTGGCAAGAGGCCGGAGTCGATCAAGACAACAAACATCCTGAAGACGCGGTGCCAGGTTTCAGATCCGAACTATCCTGCCGGCATGGTATGCGGAGTCAATTGCTCATACACCGCCGATGGGAGCTGAGATTTAGGTCAAGGGACTGAGCTAAGACTTCCGAGCGATGATGAAGACCAGCGGAGTTTGCCAGTCAAAGCTTGTTCTACATGTCCCTCAATTTAATTATGCCAAAGAATCTTGTGACCATTGACTTGTCTCCTTCATGTGCAGCTACCTTAACTGAAGTGGTTTTGCACTTTGCAATTGCTTTCCTCAACCAACGCGCCTTACTCATGCAAGTGGATCGCAAAAAACAGGACGCGCAAACATCATTCTTGATCTGTTTAACAATGGCTTTCTTCACATGCATTTCTGACTTTCCAGTGGTTAGCCGTTGGGCAATCTTGATATCCGGTCTGGTATGATATCATTAGACACTTGCTTATGCTGTTCGCTTGGCTGACAAAACTAGATCACGGCCTACCTGTCGTGTTTGGCAATCTACAGAGCTTTTTTTCATCCACTGAACAAGTATCCGGGGCCATTGCTGAACCGCATTACAAATCTTCCATTTGTGGTTGCAGGTGTGAGAGGCCAGCTACCTTTCTATGCCGAATCCTTGTTCAAGAAGTATGGCCCAGTCGTCAGAATGGGGCCCAATAACATCGGCTTCATAGACGCAAACGCCTGGAGGGACATTTATGGCATGCGTCGTCGCGGTCACTTTAAAAAAGCATATGAATACTACCGGGAAGGACCGGAAGGACCCATCAGCTTGCTTAATGCCGGTCCAGAAGAACACGCAAGACTACGCAAATGGGTGTCCCCATACTTTTCAGATCGTGGCATGAAAGAGCAAGAACCAATGATTGGCGGCTACGTTGATTTGCTTCTTAAGCGGCTGCATGAGAACTGCGACGATGGTACCCGCGCGCTTGACCTCCGGGACTGGTGTGAGTGCTGGGATTATGACTGCCGATGTTCCGTCTGGTCTGATGCTAACATTAGTCTATCAGTTAACTTTTGCACATTCGACATCCTTGGCGAGCTTGCTTTTTCCAGCTCATTTGGATGTCTCGAGTCAGCCGAGTATCATCCTTGGGTGAAAATCATTGCATTCCAGCAGAAAGAAATCGAGTGGATCGGCGAACTGAACCGGCAGGGGCTGAGGTTTATCACAGCTATCATCATGAAGATACTTGCTAAGAACAAGTTGGAGTTTATGGGGTACACGATCCAAAAGTTACAAACGCGCATTCAGTCGGGCAAACAAGCAGATATCATTGAGTCGTTTCTCAACAACAAGGAAGGAATGGTACGTTAGACCCTTCACTCGTAGCTTAGCTTGATCAATGTCGGCCGTGTCATCGTACCGTCTCGGATACCAGGGCAGAGCTGGACTAACCGGGGAGAACAGAAACTTGACATGGAACGCCTTGTCCAGAATTCGACGCTTCTCATTGCGGCTGGGTCTGAGACCACAGCTACACTGCTCACGGCAACTTCGTTTCTTTTACTGTCTAACGCTGAAGCATATCGGAAAGTCGTAGAAGAGGTCAGATCTTCGTTTTCAGATCCTTCAGAGATCACTCTTCTATCCGTCAACAAACTCCCTTACATGCTGGCCTGCCTGGACGAGGCGCTACGCGTGTTTCCAGTCGTTCCCTCTTGGTTACCTCGACGAGTCACGCATGGTAGCGCTACCATTGATGGCAACGTCGTGCCCGAAGGCGTAAGTGTCCACTTAATTGAGGGACACCCCACTCTTGTTACTAGAAAGGCTCTGACTCTGCGCGTCGACACAGTCTCTCGTTGCTACTTGGCAATGGGCCATGTATCACAACGAAATCAACTTTACTAAACCCTTGGAATACCATCCCGAGCGTTTCCTCGGAGATCCACGCTTCGCCAATGATAGGCTGGACGCATTCCAACCCTTCAGCATGGGCCACGCAGATTGTGTCGGTCGCAACCTCGCATACTCTGAGATGCGCCTAATCCTAGCGAGGATTTTGTTCAGCTTCGATTTGAAGCTAGCTGACGTGGGTCGTGATTGGATCAAGGGTCAAAAAGTTTATATTGTGTGGCAGAAGCCATCCCTAAATGTGTATCTCAAGCCAGTCGAGCGATGAGGCAAACCTAAATCCAGCCTTGAAGCTTGTGGCATAAGATATCCGTGCACGTAATACCTAGAGGCTTTACACGCAATAGGCATGACCAAACACGGAAAGTGGGCAGCACATAAGTCTAGCGGAACCACAGGTGGTCACCTAAGCACCTTGTTCCTTCGTTTCCGGCGCACAAATAAGGCCTAGGTTCGAGGCCCCAAGCTTGAAACGGCCCTTCGTACAGCTTTGACTGCGGGGAAGACCCTGACCTTATTGAAGTGCCTTCGGCTGAGACTTACCCTAGGGCTGACGCAGGCCTTGCTGTAGCTATTGTTCAACGATGCCGGTGGCAGACATTCTGCCAAGGAAGTTTTGACCGTATGAGACTTTGATTCTGCGACATGGCTGGTGCATTGTGTGAACTGCGTTGAGGCGAAGCGCTGAAGATGACCCTCGGGTGGGATGCCATTGAGTTCCTCTCTTTTGGAGGCTATCCTCGGCCAGGCTTATTCGAAGAGTCATCTATCCGAAGCTGATAACTTAATACCAAGTAATTTCAATCGAATTGTAGAACCATGCAACTGTTTTTTAGATTGACCCGCTGCCTACCTTGCCAAAGAGTGTGTACCTATGGTGATAAACCGACAATCTACAACGTAGTAGATCTCTTTACTCTCGCTATTCGAACAATAAACACATCCGTCAAAAGCTCTTTAAGGTCTCGTATACCAACTGGTTTGATCCACATCTCTTGATGCTGGCGCGTAACAGTTTCTGCGCGTCTATGACTCTGAGTCGTCTCAAATATTCGTCACGTCAACTGAAAGTGGCCGGGCCAGAAACAGTGACAGGCCATGCCGTCAAAACCCTCCGGCATGCCAAGATTAAATCTCCGCATGTTCTAGCTGCCCTTTCAGCCAGTGGGGCGTTTACGCGCCGCTGATGCTTTATTGGGTCATAGCAACAGACTTCACAGGTTGAAACTATATTGACACACTACTAAGATGCCATTTTACCGACGAGGCAGGTTCACGCTGATTTTCTGCCGCTTCTAGAATGTTGCCAGCCCTGGATCCTAGACCGGCAGTCAACCGTCGGTTTATCTGCTGGTCGGCTACGTGTTGTAAAAATAACGCCTTGTTGCCCACAAAGACTAACACAAGCCGCCGCAACTCTGTAATTCGAGTTCCCTCGATCACAGCCACTCATCGAAACATGGCAGCCGCAATACAGTCTATTCCCGTTGAAAACTTTCCTTTTAGCTTTGATATGTCTCAGACGACTTGTCGTGAAGGCAACTCTGTGGAATTAAAGAACTCAGCAACCTCAACTAAACGGCGTCGCGGCCCACTTACCCGCAATGCCTGTAAGCATTGTCGTATCAAGAAGGTAGGCAACTTTCTTATTTTCCAAATACATTTAAGAAAGTCAAAACAACGAACGACTAATGTTGTCTGCGAACTCACAGTTGAAATGCAGCGGCGAAAAACAAGGGTGCGGGCGATGCAGAGCCAACGGATTCGACTGCCAGTATGAAAGCTCAAATCCTAGTTCAAAGAGGCGCTTGACGATTGCCGATTTTACACCTTCTATGTCCCCATGGGAAAGGGAAGATAGCTTGACCGCCGAGATTGCCATAGGCATGGAGGAAGATCATGATCCGAATAATCTGGACAACATTGACCGCCTGGTCTTCCACCCAAGAGCCTTTTCTCCCTTTCAGGACGATGCAATAGACGACATACTATCTACGGATGTCCTTGATAGTTTTATAAAAGCCGGTGGTAAGGTGCTTTTCTTGATCGCTTGTCGTTAACCGGCCAATGTCAAGTCCGTCCGAAAGTTAACCTAGGTGTCTCACAGAAACCCAGCCTTTCATGAAGACAACACTCAACAGCTCAACGACCTCACCTAGGGTAGATCCGCTACTCTCAAGTCTAGATATCTCGGTATGGCCCAAAGTGGCTTCCATCGGCTCAGATACAGAGAGGTCTACAACCCAAGTCGAAAGGCGACGAAAGCACACAAGGGAGCCATCAAGTCACAGCCAGGAGTGGCCTCGCAATATCCAGCGCCCTCGACATGATCAATCGAAGCAACCCCCGGAACGAGACAGTTCTCCATGTTCATGCTACGCGCGAGTTTTTCTCCAGCATGAGGATGTTAGTTCCAACCTTCTCTGGAGTATACGCAGCAAAGCTCCCGCGCCACCGGCAGAATTGCTGCGGTCATTGAAGAGGACCATGGAGGGCCTTGGCTCTTTTTTCGATTGCCATGCTCATTCAACGCGTCCTGAATTCGTCGCCTTGCTCGTGTCCATGTGCGATATGATGCTCGGTGGTGTGGAGTATTTGGTGCCTAAGTTGTGCGTAGACGAGGACATCAACGGCGCTTCTGAAGACGATGACTCGGATACGTCCAGTTCTCATGGTGACTCAAGACGACGTTCTAGTAGTAGGAGTGGCAGCGTCAAGTTTACATCGCAGCCGGTCTTCAGGTTGAGCCAAGGAACATTAGACAAAGAGGATGAACTTCATGTACTTCACAGTTTACTACGAGTTCGAACTAAGCGATTAGGACTCTTGATTGATAGACTGTATCACGCGGTGGACAATAACGGGAGACCTATACATAGACATACTGTCTGCAGCTTACAGGACCGGCTTAGAGTTGTTTCATCGACATTGAAGAGAAGCCAGCTATAGATGGCGGTATTACGGATGGATCAGATGGATGGGCAATAGACTCATGAAACGGAATCTTGACCCGTTACACGTGTTCTAGGCATATTCATATAGGTAGTATGTAATTCACGAGGCCTGCCGATTTGAAATGACCAAAGTGTCACTTGAGTCCCTTGGATCTGTGCAACGTCGAAGTCTCCATGTCCTCGCAAGTGTGTCAAGATTCAGGAAACATCTGAACTCAAGACAGCATCGACTCAACATCGATAGACACTTGAACTGTCTTAGACTAATGAAAGCTATGGGACATATGTAGAACCAGGCAATAAAGTGAATGTTAGCAACCAAACAAACCTGTCAACCCAAGAGTTCATATTCCCAACAGTGATTCTTGAACTTCTCCCAACAGTGAACTAGGGTCAATACAGACCCGCGACGGTCTCGCCCTTGCAACATCGAAATTCCGGAAAAGACCTTTCCGTTCTCCGCGAGTCGATCCTTCTCACGACCGAAGACAAGGCCCATGTAGACGTAGCCTACATGTACTTCGCAGCGTAAAGCTTGGCCCTCACTGATTTGAACGCCACAAGAGGTTGAGCTCCCGTTTAAGCGATAGAGCTTCGATGAATTGTCTGGAAGCAAGCAAACAGATGAACTCGGGTGTGAACCGCGTGGTAGTGACCCATCGCAACTTACTCCACCTCGACGAGCGCGTGATATTCAGGCGAAGGACCGTATAAGCGCAACTGGTCAGGGTTACAAGTCCACAGAAAGTCGGCTAACACATGTCTGCGTCTGCAAGCATCGCACGACGCTGTCAAAGACCAGAAGTGTAACTAGGTGAGGCCTCACGGTACGTGTAGCCATGGCAGTAGAAAAATAGTGAATCATTGATGCCTGGAGTGACGATGACAACTACTTTCGTGGCCGGATTGCAGCCTATTTCAATGCAGCCTATTTCAATGATTCTCATCTTCCTGTCGCAGCCTAGTGACCTTGGCACGCCCGGCTACGGTGCAACCGTGAGCGGGTGATGGACACTGCAACATGTCTCCTTCGCTGCAAGGCACTGGGTATGATTGCCTTTTCTTCTCCGTACAGTCGATCCATTTGCGTCTTACCGAGCTGATCTTTCTGTCGACTTGAATGCTGTCGGCGGCTGACTACTCCTGACTTCTTGAGGGACCCAGGGGTAGAATCGGCCGCTTGTCCTTCGGGATAGAGCCAGGATATTTGAAGAGTTGGGTACAAAATATGAGTTGTCTTAGACGCTTATTTGAGAAAGTCATTACGGTGTCTTTGAGACTTAGGTATTTTCTGCGAAGGAGAAACTAAACTCGCGTTCCATGAAAATAACCATACCGGATCATGTCGCGATATCAAACAGACATGACGATGCGACGAGAGACAACCATTTTCGAGCGACTGAAACCCGAAAGGCGAACCATAGAAATGAATAGTCACTCATCGAAGCAGTATGTAAGATTTGTTGTTGTCTTGAGCTTGGTTGTCTCGTTCACCTCCTGGAATTGGCTTCTCGGGAATTCTTCAATGACAGGGACAATAAAAGTAATACCCTAACGCCCAACTTCAAGACGTTGAGTGTCGCCGGATTAAAGTCCGTCATACTTGTGCAGTATTACGTCTCCAAAATTGCGTGAACGGACACGGAGCAAGGCGGAGACTGAGGGAACTAGCCAATCATAAGATGGTGAACCATCAAGGCTGCTGTAAAGTCTTAGCCATTCGATCTGCGGATTTCTACCGGTACACTCAACCTATGGTGAGAGAATTAAAGGATTTTCTTGTTTCCGCCCCATGAATCCTTGGCGAACTTACCCCTATGTGCTCATTCTGTAGCGGAAAATCTTTCGCGTCCAACATTGTGACCCCCACCGTTGAAACTTTACTGCCTAGCACGGGATGGTTCCTTCAAATTCATTCTGCTCAGTGGTACGGCCACCAGCTTCGCTACCTCGACCTGGCCCTAGCATCGCCCCGTTAATTCAACCAAGATCTAGGAACATCGAATGCAACCTCTTGACCAGTCAGACTCTTCAACGGTAGCCTACAGCCTTCATACCAAAGTTTCGGTACGCAAAGTCGTCAGCCTGCAGCATAAGGTAAGGTAATAGAGGATCAAATGTTTTAGTGGTCACTGTACTATTATGGGCCCAGAAGTTCCCCGCGGAAGTACCGGCATGCATGGGGGAAACATTAAAAGGGTAATGATTGCCGCATTGGCGGGAGGGCCCAATGACGAGCCGGGTAAACAAATAGGCTTCGGCAATGATTAGCAATGCAATTAGCTTGACTCATACGAAAAGTAACTGCACGAATATATAGTGTCAGTGACGCCGGTAGCGGGGTTGAGAGAAGATGAAGCTCGATGGTACGGATAGCGTTTGCGAGATCTCGAATTCCTCACCTCCGTGATCAATCGTGCTTCTCAACATGCGTCACTTCACAATCCGGCTGTTGGCCCTCTGCGGCTTGGCGACTGCCGCAAGCTGCGAAGACCGGCGATACTCGACATGGATGCTCGACAGCATTAAGGCGCGAAAGCAGGGTATCATCTCGTCCGGTGAATCAAGCAGCTTCCTGGAAACGGGCATCCTCTCCCTCGCCATGGAAGCTGCACTCAAGCAGTACCCGGACCTCAAGGACCAATATGTGCCTTACTTGGAGGAAGTTCTCAACGAGGGGACTCCCAATTTGGTCAATGCGACTTACGTCGCAACCCGACCCCTAGACCGTTTCTCAGTAGCAAACGCTATCAACGCTATTTCCAAGTCGGGAATTGCAACGATTTCGAACACGGCGTCGGCAGCATCGAAAGCGATCAATGAATCTCTGTCGCTTCAAATTCGCAACCCCGTTGGAGGCTTCTGGTACTACGTCTACCCTCAATGGAGTTACCTGGACGGCATGTTCTCGGTGCTGCCATACATGGCTGCGCAGCCCCAGCCCAACTACACCGATATCAGCTTGCAGGTTTCACTGCTCTACGAGCACTGCTTCCAAAAGAACACCTCCTTGGTCGCCCACGGGTATGACTACTCGAAGACTTCCGTTTGGGCAAATCAACAGACAGGTGCGAGCCCGTATGTATGGGGCCGCGCCGTGGGCTGGTTTGTAGCAGGTTTAGTCCAGACGTGGGAAGCCCTCGACTGTCCCGCCGGCAAGCACGAGGCCAAAGCCGTGTGCAAGCAACTGCAACACATGACGACGCAATTGGCTACATCTCTCGTCCGCTACGCTGACCCCGAAACCGGCGTATGGTGGCAATTGACGACGTTTCCTGGACGCAGCGGCAACTACCTCGAGAGTTCCAGCACGGCCTTGTTCATGTTCTCGATGCTCAAGGGCGAGAGACTTGGGCTTCTGTCGAACTCGAAGGTGGACTTCAAGAAGGCAGCTCTGAAGGCTTACGACTACACCACCCGAAACTTTGTTGTCGACACTGGAAACGGTACGATCGGATACAACAAGACTGTCGCTGTGTGCAGTCTCAACTCTACAGCATCTTACGAATACTACATTCATCAGCCGCTTTTGCCTAACAGTCTTCTCGGAGAATCGGCCTTCGTCCTGGCATCTCTCGAGGTAGAGAGGAAGTAGGGCAATGAAACCTTGTTGCTAGGCTGCTATATAGTCAATGTAATCACATTCTACACGTCTAATCGAAGTCATTTGTAAGAGACCAAGAGTCTCAAGGTACACGTCTCAACCAGAACCGTGACATGCAGGGGTTTGATAACTTGCGCGCAAGGAATTGGCTGGAGATGGTGTATCTGCCTAGCTTACGAGAGCCATTTTGAGAATAGTGCTTAGCGTACATGCAAATATTGACGCAATGCATCACACGTCAGCCCGGGTTAAGTGAAATAACTTTGATTGCAGTGTAGCCTGCCAGCCACCGCTCAACCGCCTGCGTGAAATATAAGGTACACGCAGCTACGAGTTTTGCATCCATCTTACCCACTCTGCAAAGCTCATGTACCTAAATGTCCAGAATCCTATGTCCCCCGTCCTCTATTCACGAGACCAGTGATTTCAATGGTTCGGTGATGTTATGTTTAATGACTTAATATTCCGGACAGTATGGCAGCCCTCTTGCTAAAGAAAAGAAAAAAGCGATTCAGTTCCATCTTTCGTCCAGGCAGACTCAACGAATTCTTACGAACATCGTTTCCAACCAAGAGAGCATTTTCTTTGCTGCGTAAATCTCAGTTATCGTTCCCTCTAAAATCCCGGGCACGAGTCCCTGAATAGTTACGCAGTGCAGGTTAGCAGATTGAGACTGTCAAGGAGATATTTGGCAGGACGAGTCATCCCCCGAGATTCGGGTCATCGCTTGTACCTCTGTACATGTGGATGTCGGATTGGAAGTCCAATTCGACCTCGAGGCAAGGGGCCCGCGCAGGGGCCACTTACAGACCATACTTACGAGATCTACGGTTTACCTAACCTCCGGTTAGAACCTCCTTTTTATACCTTACGTAGAAGTTAAATATATATAGATTTTGACCTCTTCGTTACCTATAGTTTAAATTATCTCTGTAATAGGAATATTAATACTAATTAGTAGTTAAATCCTATTATTATAGATTAGTAAAATATTTTGTAAGTAGAAGAGACGACCTTCTTAAACGGAATATGACAGGAGAATTATGTTATTTACCTAATGGAAAGTAGGTAATAAGATGTAAATCTCTATGACGGAATAAAGTAGAGGAATTATAGCCCTTGACTGCTTATAAAAGGTCGACGTCTATTATATTAAAAATAAACTATAATTAAAGGAATTATAAGAAGGCGACTAAGCTACCTATATTGCCTTTATATAATTTGTCCTATTTAATAATCCACGGGCGGCCTGTACGTTAATAGAGGAAAATAAGCGAAATTATTAGATTTGCTAGATTGGTAAATCTATTGTAGATCTTGACTGTATGACGAAATAGGCCTAATTGGAGAATATAAAAAGGCATTTTAGGACTATAAAAATAAACTTTTAAAGTAATAGGGTGTTTAAGTAGGAACTAGACCCCGCCGGTAGCTTTAGGTATATTTCTTAGTTAAATCTGAGGAGGCTATTAGGATCGATGGTAATATTGCTATTATTAAGACTAATTTCGAGATTCTAAAGTTAAGCTTCCCTTTTTTACCTATATTTATTACCCCTCGGTTATTTTAAAGGAATAAAAGCTAGGTGGAGTTGAGATGAGGAAGGAAGGGATTTAGAAGTATTATAATGCTTACCTTATAAAGGGGTGTGAGGTATTTAATTCTTTAGATTATATATTCTTACCGAGCTATAAAGGTAAAAAAAAAGCCTGTTATTTTAGTTAGTATAGGAGAAAGCTAAGAAGACGTTTAAGGAGAGAATATAAAGAGAGGGCTATTAAAAGACCTTTTTTATATAATAAGGTATATTATAAGAAGAGAAAACCGTTAATAAGAAATATAGCGGCTAATTTAGAAGATTAAGAGTAGATAGTAACGAGGCTTGCTATAAGGAGGTTGGAGGCCGTAGGAAGCTCCTAGACCTTGATAAATATAGCGAGCGATAATAGTACGCTATTATTATAACTAATAAGCGGATCTAATATATCCTTATTAAAATTAAATACGCCGGCCCTTATAAATAGAAGTATAAGCTAAGGGACGATAGGGGGTAAGTTAGTATATAGAACGTATAGAAGGACTCCTATCTTAGAAGATTAGGTTGAGATTAATCTAGAGTATTAGGGGAAATAGTTATATCGAGATTTAGACTACTTTAATAGTAAGTAAATTAATACGGCGTTAGTTTTTATTATAGAGATATATATCTATAAGGGGCTTAAAGGGTAACCCCTATTTTATAGAGTCGTAAACAACTTAGGCAATTAAAAAGATAAATAGTTCGCTAATATTAATTCTAATATTATTAAGGAGGTAAATAGATTCCTTTATTACCAAGGCGTTCTACTAGCCTAAGGGGTAAAGTAAAAGGCCTATAAGATATTTATAGCGATAGTAGCTATAGAGGATTTTACGCTATAGGACTAGAATTAGATCGATAGAATAGTATTAAAGTATAAAGAATTTAATAGACGAGTGAATTAACCGGATTTTCTATTAAAGATTATTAACGGTAATATTGCGGTGTTTAATTTAGTGTAGATAAGGGGGATTATACTGGAGGCGTATTAGATGATGATTCTGTCTATTATGGTGACGACCTTAATAATAATATTAATCCGAGGATTGATCTTAAGTATTTAATAAAGTATAAGGTCGATAATATAGATATTATTTAATTACGCTGCTGTACGAGAAGTATGTGAAGAGAACGATTTAGTGGTAGTTAGTATAAGATAGTTTATTGATTTAAAGAAGATCTTTTTAAAAGAGAAATTGTATTTAGGGGGGAGATATGAGGTTCTGTAAGAAACCTTTATAATGTTCTACGATTATTATAAAAAAGTTAGTATTTGAGAATATTAATATTATTTAGTAGTTAATGTTATATTGATAGGGAAAGCTGCCGAGTATTATTATTAAGCGGTGCGTAATATTGATTAAACTAACTTTTTTAGTATTGTTGATATAATCCGAAGTCGATTCGAGACCTAAGATAGGAGCCTTAAGCTCCTTTCAGAGCTAAGGGTATTGTTATTTAGCTCTGTAGCTAGAATAATAAAAGGAAAGTCGAGAATTGAGATTTTCAAAGAGCTTATTAATAAGATCGATAAACTAGTAAGGACGTAGCTAAATAAGGGGATTAATAAGCGAAAGGTCGGTTATTTATATATAGCGGTATAGAGAGTATTAAAGGTAAAAATAATTCTATATTAACCGCTTAAGGATTATAAGACGCTATATTCGAGGCTGAGGTCCAGCTTTAATATCGAAGCTAGGATATTAAATTAGACTTACTTTTAATTTTATAAAGGCCCTCATTAATAATATTAGGTAGACCGTATATATAATAGTAAAGGAAGAGAGGTAAAGTATAATAACCGTTAGGGGGGAGGAATAAACTCTTTAGGGGGGTGCTGGTCTAATATTAACTAAGTACTATAGAAAGGGAAGTGCTTTATATATAAAAAGGAGGGTTATTAGTTAAGCAACTATTTTGATGAGGAATGTACTAAGTTATATAACTAATATAGAAAGGTAAAGGGCATATAAAGCAAGACGGGCCATAATCGATTTAACTAATTCCTAGTAGTCTATGAGGACTATTTAATAAATATAATTAAGTCGTTTGAGAGCGAGGAAGATCTTACCCTATATATTTAAGACCTTGATTTTGATAAAGTTAACGATGTTACTTATTTTTTTTTTGCCCCGTTAACTTTAGGAGGATATATAATGCTGAACGAATAGAGAGTAGTATAAGCCCTAAATGAGTAGGCTTTTTTCTATAGTTGGTAAGGGAAGGTCCTTTAGCTAACGATAACGCTTAGTAATATAGGGGACATAAATACTAATACTATAGCTATGGCTCGTATTAAGGTTAAAGGGCCTGGGGAGGAAAAGAGAATAATGGGCTTATAAGTACATAATTTATATTTATTAGGAGGGTTCTATAGTAATCTAGTATAAGTATTTTATACTAGCGAAAGATATGGCTTAGAAACCTTTTACGGGATTATTTTAGATACCGGGGCATTATAATGGTTAATAGGGGGTAAGGGATAATTCTATGTATTTTAAAAGATTTTATTAGTGACCCTTAATATTATAAATACGGGTATTATGAGGATTAGTTTTGGTCTAGGGGAAGAGATAAGTGCTTTAAGTATTGTGGATATAAATATATGATTTGGAATGATGATTTTCTATATTCTACCTGTTAATATATTATTCTTTTATGCCTGAACGATATGGATAAATTGGGTATTGTGTTTGATAATATAAGGAATAGAATGTCTAATGGAAAGTACTCTGAGCTCGTTGATCGACGATGGGGGTATGCGTTTATGAAGCTTGAACTAGACGTTAAGTTTATTAATTACTTGACGGAAAGTGAATTTAAGCGACTATATTGACGATTTGGCCATTTGTTGGCGACGAGATTATATAATCTTTTTAAATATTTAGGGAACGATGTGGAAATAGGGGCTTTAGAGTAATTGATGATGGTGTGCCATTAGTGTTAAATGAATGCCTAGAGCCCGTATAGATTTAAGTTTAAATTATATAACGACTTTAATTTTAATTGGGAAATCGTTATTGATATTTTTTATTTAAATAGTCGATTAGTACTTTATATAATTGATGAAGCTATATTATTTTAAGGAGGCTAATTCCTTTAAGATATATAAGTTAAGACTGTGTGGGTAATGCTGAAGCGCTATTAGATCGATATATATTAAGGTCTACTAGACGGCATTAGAACTAATACCGGTATTAGTTTTAAGTTGGTAGAATTTAGGGAGAATGCTATTTTGTACGGTATTTAATTGAAAGTCGTCCTTGTTGAAGCGTATTATAGTATTAGTAAGGTAGAAAGATTATATTAGTAGTTAAAAAGAGCTTTTAAGATTATTTAGGAAGAGAGCCTTAGTTTAATAGATAAAGAGTACTTTTAGATGGTATTTAAGTGCTATAATGATATTATAGGACCTAAGGGGCTTGTTCCGACGCTGCTTGTGTTTAGAGTATATTTATAAATAACGACGGCCTTACCGCCGTTATTAGATGTGACCTAAAGGGCGTAAGTAATTAAGAAAGTAATGAAGACTCTCTACGAGGTAAATACTAAAAGGTAAGTTAACGAAGTTATTATTATATATAATGGGCCCGATATGAGCCTTAACCTTAATATGCCCCTAAATTTAGAGGTATAGGTATAGAGGGAAATTATAAAGTAATGGATAGGCCTATATAAGTTAGTCTTAATTAATGAATAATCTTATATCGTTACGAGAGATTGAGATTAATTACTGGAGGTGTTAATTATTACGGTACGACCGTATTACGTCGATCTTAGCGGAGTGATTTTTAACCTATAAGAAGAAAAAGAGCTAGGGGAACTATTTTAATAAAGCGATGAGGGATAATTAAGTAATAAGGGGCAAGAAACCATCTTTAATAAGATCATTGTTATAGTACCCTTAGACGATGAGGCAGAAGAAGAACTAGTACCCTTACCGTAAGTAAGATACCGAGGAAGACCCTAAAAAGTACCTTAACGGTAATTTATATTTAATATTAAGGCTATTGCTGTCTTTTATATGGTTAAGGAGAAAATAGATTTTATAATGGCGGTTAAGCTAAAGGAATAAGGGATAATTATAACTATAGGATGACCGTATAAAGGCTCTAACCTTATTAAAGCCGATATATTATGTAATTGAGGGGTTTATAAATTTATTACCTACGACCTAAAAAAGTATGCGAACTTCTGTATTTTTAAGTTGTAAATGGTCTGTAAGATTAAAGGAAAGGGGATAAATTAGCCGTATAAAAAATTAAGGTATATGATATAAGGTTATAGTAATGTTGAGAAGGCAGTATTGCTTATATAGTCGCTAATAGTTTAGCGCTGTAGCTAATGATTAATGATGGTATTGATGGTATTATTATGGTAAAGAGGATATTGGATCTGGAGTCGTGATATTATTTAGGTATATACCTAATCGGTAATAAGGCTTATGAGGAAGATATTGGCTTATTTATTAAGGGAGATGGTAAGTAAATATTTGGATGATATGATTATTGAAGTGCTGAAGTTACTTTATGGCCTTGTAGAGTTAGGTATTTATTGGTGGGTAATATATTATAATTTTTATATCGATAAGTTTTTGATGATTATATCGATGTACGATCCTTGCTTTTTAGTTTCTGTATATGTAGACGATTTATTTGGAATTGTTGGAATGTAGATTGACGATATATTAGGGCTTTCTGATGCGGCCTTTATAGAGAAGGAGGATAAGGAGCTGGAGAAGGTAAAGTTTATTATTAAGCTAAAAGAGATCTTTATAGAGGATATATTATTTATATTTAACGGCGGGATCTTTATAATCGAGGGTAAGAATGTTGTTTTCTAATAGAAGGGGTAAGGTAAAAAGATTACTTTTATTAACCTAAAGGTAACCGACTATTAGAAACGGTATAAAATAGAGCTTATATAAAGAGCTTATATTATAAATATTTATTAGCTAAAGGCTATTTTCGATTATATAAGGGTAGCGTAGGCTATTTTACTAATGGAATATAATTTTAATACTTTTAACCGACGGCTATAGTAATAGTAAGTGAACTTTAATAGGGGGCTTGTATATTAACTTATTAATTTGAGGGAGGTGAAGTTTTATATGTTCGTTAATGGCTTATTTATAAATAATAACGACTTTATATTGTAATTAGGATATATAATAATCTTTATTAACGAGGTAATAGGAGAGGAGAACTTTACGATCTGTAGTAATATTATTTATTACTTGTTAATAAAGAGTAAAAGGGTTATATAAAGTGTACTCGCTTTAGAGGTTTATAGTATGGTTAACGGTATTAATATTGTATATATAATTTTAATAATACTGAAGAGGATTACGAATCGATTTAATATCTTTATAATATCGATAATCGTTTATATTAATTTATACTTATTATATGAGTACCTTGTTAAACTGGGTACTATAAAGGAGAAGAGGCTAATAATAGATATTATAGCCTTCCGGTAATCGTATAAATATTATAAGATCTTTAAGATCCGTTAGATTAATAAGGACGATAATCTAATGGATACTTTTATAAAGGTAATGCCTAATAAGGGGCTCGAGTACTTTATTAGTAAAGGAAGGGCGACGATATAGATAGAGAGATAAGTAACTTATAAGGAGTAAAAGAAGGAGGAAAAGGGGGTAACTTCGGTAAAGGAGCCCGAGATCGAATTATATTTTTAACTACCGTAGTTAAGCGATAAAAGAGAGAGATAGTTAATATTGGATTAGAAGTCTAATTTGACCTTAAGGTAAGGGGCCTGCGTAGGGGCTATTTATAGACTATATTTATAAGATCTACGGTCTACCTAACTTCTAGTTAGAACCTCCTTTTTATACCTTATATAAAAGTTAAATATATATAGATTTTGACCTCTTCGTCACCTACGGTTCGAACCATCCCTGTGATAGGAATACCAACAGTGGACTGAGGTTGGTTGGTCCGCCTTTCAAAGACTATAGACGCATACAAATAGCCCACATCAGTTATCTTTCTCGATCGTATTTCCGACCCCTCCTTATATTATCACTAGCTCATTCTGATTTCTCTCACACCTTGAAAGTCTTCCAATGACATCTTCCAATATGGCCTCTCTGTGGCTAATTACAATCCTCATAGTCTGTGTACATGCCCTTCGAGTCAAGAAGAGTCGAGAATTCCCGTTAGGATCTGAGATCGAAAATCTCGCAGTCAGGCCGTCGGGATCCGTTTTAGCAGTAGTCTACACATTCCCTCGCGTCTATGAAGTGGCACCTGTTGCAAATGCCGAACCAAAGCTTTTGCACACATTCGACAACACCCATGGCGTTTCCAGCATTGCCAAATCACCAGACTCGGATGAATATTTCCTCATCACCGGCAACTTCTCTTTCCAGACTCTGAGTCCGACACCTGGCTCATACGCAATCCACAAACTGTCATTTGACAAGTGCGACAAGCCGGTTGTCAAGGAACTAGCATCATTGGACGCAGTCTCTCAACCTAATGGGATAATTGCCGTCCCCGGGACGTCCTATGTTCTGATCGCAGACACGCGTGACGGATTAATTTACCGTTTCGACACCAAGACTCTCCAATTGGGCGTCTACTACGATGACCCCATACTGAAACCTGGCACGACCACCGGCATCGTATTCGGCGTCAATGGCATCAAACTCTCGAGAGGATACCTTTATTTCAGCAACACCAACCAACAATTAGTTGCCCGCATCCGAGCTTCCGGGAGGGAAGACATTCTTCACGGAACCGCGGAAATCGTGGCAACCCAAACTCCGATTGATGATTTCATTGTCAACAGATATAATGGCGACGTCTACCTTGCCGAACTTGGTGGCAACGCTCTCGGCCTTGTCCGAAACGGGTCAAATAGCACCGTTCCGGAGACCCTTCTCGGCGGCATCAACAGCACAGCTCTCTTGGCGCCGACATCAGTTGTTTGGGCGAAAGGTGCGGAAGGCCGAACTCTCGTCGTTTCAGAGACTGGTGGTTTCGAGCAATTCGTAACACACAATTACACAGGTGGTGGCAGGATCAACATTATTCATTTAGAGTAGTTCCCTCAAGTGGCTCGAGACAAATAGATGAAGTCGCAGCATCTCATGTAAACTTTTGCGAGCAAATCTTTGCGAGAAACGATGATGGTAGTTGGGTTTCATGGGTACTTTGGGTGGGTAATACGGCGTGCATGTCAGCGCCATTCCTCTTGTTTTCTCCGAATTTGCACAGCTAGCACCCCAAGATGAGTTCAATCAATGCGCACTTTAATCTTGCGCACTTGAGATCACGAACACTACAGTCATCGGCTGTAGCGGTCTCTGCGATTTCTTGTAGATTGTTGCCAAGCATTGAGTCGTACCGTGTAACGCTGTTCATTGACCATCCTCGCCAGCAACCCTCGAATGCCGGTGGGAGAGTTCAGGCAGTACACTGAGAACTGTAGTTGATGCTGCCAAGAAACATGTGACGCTTTCTTCGGTAACACAGCGTACGGAGTACACGATGTTGCCAACACGAACTTTTAGGGTCGTTAACTTACAAGGCCATAGATCACCCACTGTCTATGGGGCTGTTATGGCTACAGATCTAAGGCACAACAGTCTCAACCATCATCGCAAGTGATGGGGCTCGCATCATTGAATCATTCCGGTGTACGACTCAAAAGTGGGCAACGGACTTTCGGACGTTGAAACGTCGTCTGAAGAGGGTTGGAAAATTAATGATAGTCCCAAAGATGCGGCTTTCGAAGAATACAGTCTAACCCATACAAATTGATCGAGTTCTTGGCAATCCTGTTGAAGATGAGTGTTCACTTAAATCCAGGAGCAAGAGAGTGGCTCTTCAAGAAGCGCCGGTGGGATGAAGCCTTGGTGCAGCATCCGGCTTTTGTATCATTGGTTTGCATCAGTCAAAGCATCAGTTCGTCTCTTGTTCCCCCTTGAGATCGAAAGTGCCAAGAGCGTCAGTTCTCAAACCTTATCCGCAACCCCTGCCAAGATTTCAATCTACACGCCGGCAAACGGCTTGTTCCAACTCTGCACGTGGGTTAGCGCGAATTTCATCTTCCATGGTAAATCGATTTTACCACAAGCCAGTTAGATTAATAGGTGGAATTTCCACAGCATCATCCAGGGATATCCCAACCCCGCACGGAAAACGACGCGGTGCCCAGGTCGGCGGTCGACCATGGTCGCATTTCCGACCATGGCTTCGGAGGAGCTATTAAAGACACTAGATCGCCAGTACCATGGGGAATGTCAGAATCAGTCTATGTCGGACTTGTTTGATAATTGACTTATTCGCAATGTTGGGTTTCGACAAGTTCTCTGCCGCCTGGCTTATGGCCATTATGTCTGTCAAGCCAGTGACATCGACCCTTCTCTACGCCGCTTCGCACGCTGGAACTGTCACCACCCTAGATCTTCAGACCTCAGAATCAGGAACGACTTTGAAGGCGATTGCAACGAACACTGATTGCGCGGCGAACCCTTCTTGGCTTACCCTCGACCAGTCAAAGTCTCTACTCTACTGCGCGGACCGAGGACTCACCAACCCCAATGGCACGCTCGTTTCTTTCCAAAAGTCCGAAAACGGAACTCTCGAGCTGTTGGGAAAGCTACCTACCATCAAAGGGGCTGTGAGCTCCGTTGTGTATGGCAAGAATGGTGGAGGCATTGCCTTGGCTTCCTAGTAAGTCCCACTCCCTGACCCCGGAGAGATTTCCACATTCGTCACCGAAGAAGCTCGTTCTGTGAGGTTGGGAAAAATTACTGCCCATTATTTTGCGGAACTCCGCTGACTTCATTCAAAGCCCGGCGTCATCCTTTGAAGTGTTTTCCGTGGAGGATCCGACCGACATCAAAAGGCTTCAATCTTGGACATACACTCTGAGCCAGCCAGGACCGAAGCCGGCACAGAATGCCCCGCATCCCCACGAGGCCATCCTTGACCCCACGGGGCAGTATGTGCTAGTGCCGGATTTGGGAGCGGATTTGGTCCGGGTTTTCTCAATCAACCATGAATCCTACCAACTGACACCCGTTACCCCACTGAACGTCGCAGTTGGCAGTGGTCCAAGACACGCCAGATTCCTCGTCACCAAGGAAAAGACTTACTTCTTTGTTCTTGCCGAGCTTGGAAACATCGTCACCACGTACGAAGTCCATTATGGTTGCAACAAGACTTTGAGCTTCACGGAAGTTTTCAGCGTCGGTACCCACGGTCCAGACAATACGGTGCCCGTTGGGGCTGCGGCAGCTGAAATCCATATTTCTGTAAGTACTCATTTGATCCCTCGATGAGGATAGTCCGTCATGAGATAGATGTGTTGCGTTGCTAACCTTGCATCAGCCCGACTCTGAGTATCTTGTTGTCTCTTCGCGAAACGTCAGCACCTTCAGCATTCCAAACTTTGATACCGCCAACAGTACCGAGATCAAGAGCGACGCTCTCGTTACCTTCAAGATTGATCACAAGACCGGTCACCTGGGCTTCACTCAGATCTTCCCGTCGGGTGGCATGATCCCTCGGCAGTTCTCGATCAACAAGGCCGGTACCCAGGTTGCGGTGGGTTTGCAGCAGGATGGCCGGGCGGTCATCATTGACCGCGAAGTGAGCACCGGTCTTTTGAAGGGGTTCGCCGCGAATATTTCCATCGCAGGCGAAGTCGTTTGCGTAATTTTTGATGAGTGATTCTGTAAATCGCTATGGTACTCATGTAGGAACATTTGATGTCTTGGATTTCTAGACAAGGAGAGAGACAGCCTCCTAGAGTGGCCACTTTCCCTCAACCTGCATCCTGTCTTTCTCCAATCTCCAGTGTCCAGCATCAAATTTCCAGACCCAAACCTCCTGCTTCTCATTGTAGCTTGCTTTATGCCGTCCCTCGAACCTGGAAAGACCCGCTGCCCGCATGAGTGCTCGCCAAGGTTCATTGCCGTCGCCTGTCTCTGTCCTAAACACCTCGCATCCAAGCTCGTTGTGGGCATACTCGATAAGGAGGCTGGTCGCCTCGAGGCCATACCCCTTGCGCCATTGTTTGTGGTCGATGATAATGCCAATGTCCGTCATGTACGTTTCGCTCCCCGAAAGTGTCGTCTGGCTAAGGAATTCGGTCGGGGCGACAGGTTCAAAGGTGTTGTACCCTCCGTACCCAATCAGCTCATTTGTATCGCGCAATTCCACAACTAGGAATGCATTTTTGCCCTCCGTCGACATTTTAGCGAATTTCTCAATCCGAGCACGAAGCTTTTCGAAAGTGAGACCCTGTTCTGGTTGCTCAAACGGGAAGTTTTCCGGGGCTGTCATGATAGCGTGAAAGGACTCTGTGTCAGATTCTGCAGCAGTTCTAACAATCAGTCGCGGAGACAGAAGCTTGTACGACGCCCGACAAAACTGAGAAGAGGCCATCATGGTGGGTTAGACGGCGATTCGATGATTTCCGTTTCAAATTGAAGCCTTGCTGAAGAAGTTACATGTACGGACTGAAAGTTCCCAACATGAGCCCCGTGGAAGACCTCAACTTATATCAGCAAGTTTCCAACACATCTTGGCTTTTTCCCTGTCTACATGTTTGCGTCTGAGGATCAGCAACGCCGCGTGATCTTGTTGATTTTAATCGGTCGAAGGATCAGAGTCTGTTGACCTTCCCGATTTGGATAAAATTCCTGGTGCGCTGTGGACCAACATTTGGGTAGGTTGGTTGATTGCCAGTGAGTCACACTGGATCTGAGTCAATGAAAGAAGAGATGAATGCATTGCGAACCGACCCACGTGCCTACTAGCAACTGCTGTTTTTTTTTTTTTTTTTCAGGTTTTCGTGCGCGAGTATCAATACCAGCCAAGAACTTGTTAGCCCTTTCTATCTTGATAAGGTTGAAGTGCAACACGAAGGTTCTGTAAATTGATGGCATTATCAGGCATCTCAGTTCGGCATTGGATTCTTTGAAGTCAGCCTTAAAAGTGAAGCATCCCGCAGTATGAGTGCAGTCAGATGCGTAAAGTGCGAATCGTCCCATGAGTGTCGATATAGCGAGACTTGGCAAAACCCGGATGTCAAGGCCTGAATCCGGGCCAGGAGTCGGTCACTCGATGAGTACCCCAGGCTCCACAACTCTTCCCGAGTGACTCCAAGTCCGGGGAAACGGCAGTCTTATATGCTGGAGACGTAGCTTAAACAGCTCATCAGACGCACTTGATTGCAACGTCACTGTTTCGTTCCAGCTTCAACAGAGTGGCTGCAGCAGATCAACCCCTGCAAATGGTTCTCGGATGAGCGCACGACCGATGCAACCCGCAAAGCCAAGCGCGCACGATCGACAGGCAACATCAATACCCGGAAACACGGATAGGGCAAGTGAGACAGGAGCTCGTGGCTATGTCGTCAGCCACTGTCAATGTTCTATGCTTTTTCTTCCTTTAGAGCCGTCGTTCTCTGGAAGCTGTCGACAGGAATGCGGACATGGTGACAGCTGCGCGAGTCAGCGACTGGTGGTTCTAGCTCATTCTTAATGAATTGGTGGGGTTCTCTAGGTCGCTTGACCGCAAATCAATGCCCAAATGAACGGATGTTATTCGACATCGAAAGCACCTCGCCCGTTGCGAGTCGTGAAGGCGGGACTTGCTCGGGAAGAGTCGTCCTGTCAGAGATTGGACGATCAATCTACTTTTGTGCCCGTGCTCACAGCTCATAAAGACTATTGAAAAGACGTATTTCTTTGCCGTCTCGTCCTCGCCTGGTGTTCGGTACCTGTACATATAAGCAGACGACGCTGACTACTAGTAGCTACACGATGTCATCATGGACCAAATCTCACCAGTATGCACAGATTGGAGAAGTTAATGAAAATGGCGAGAATGTCCAAGATAGAGAATCACGGCTGAGGCAATACTGGCAAAGGGGCAGAATTCACCTCTTTTACGCGATACTCGTCATCTTGGTAGCTGGGCTTAGCAGACATACTGCGTCTAGCAAGGCTGCACCAGGTTATTACGGCGTTGAACCCGTCAGGTCAGAAATGCGATGTAAGATACCACTAGCTGTCCACACTCCTTTCTCAATACAATTCTAATACAGCATAGTATCAACCATAAGCAAAACCTTCGAGCTAGATCTCAAGTATGCCATGCCACCGTCCCCACAAGTTGACGATGCTTGGGCTTCGCTTCTTCCTAAGGAGGGCGGCTTTTTTCAACATTCTAAGCTCGCGCCGCGAAAGAGCTGCATAGCGGTGTTCCACCAGCTTCACTGTCTCGACATGATCCGCCAAGCTCTATACGAAGCGCGGCCCGACATCATGGAGCAAGCCAACAATGGGTCGCACCCTACAGACCACAAGGCGGGCCATAGGACGGACCACGACGCTTCTCCCGATCACAATCACGTCAAAGATATGTATCACATCGGTCACTGCATGGACCTCGTTCGCCAGTCCATACTTTGCAGACCTGACTTGACTGTAGAGGTTGGCGACCCAGCGGTAGGCGGTGTCACGGGGTTCGGCACGGAGCATCAGTGTGTGAATTGGCAGGAACTGATGGACTGGATGAAGGACCATGAATGAGGCAACAGATGCATACTACGACGACATGCCCTAGCCATGAACGACCAAGACGGAGAAAATTGTAATACAAGCCTTCAGCGTGAGTCCTACTCGCTTTATCGAAGAGCAACACAGCGTTAAGTTCCAAGCTCAGAGTTGTGCCATGATAACGAAAACGAACAACGCACCGAGTAAAGCACAGCACCAATGCAATTGGGGTTAAGATGAGATTGATATGTAGGGAAGTAATGAATTACCACCATGCAGCAATGGAAACCAGTGAGCATTCCGACGGAGCTCATGATAAATCAAGAAAGACTGCTACAAGAATGGGTAAAGCTACCTGATTCGGCAATCAAATCTGGACGTAAAGCTAGCAAAGTGAGGCAATCACCGATGCGCGAGATAACGTTCAGGCTAGAAACAAACTCGCCCCCCCCTATGGCAAAAATGGCAGTTGCGGTTGAAAATGCTCACTTTTCGAAATCAAATCACCAAAGCACATTCCTCATTCAGCCATAGCGCTGCTCAACAAGCTTTGTTGCAACATAATCTACACTTTCCCCGGAAATTGCGGACCGCCGGAAGATGGCACTGGTATATCTGCAGACTGCAACCCCCTAGCCAAGAAAATCCAAGCAATGGTCGAAGCCAAGCTGCTGCAATGGGTCTGGTTGCGTCGGGCAGTTGAAGGAAAGTCTGCATCCGATCGTTCTTGGCAAGCGGGATGGAATGTTCGTCCCATGTTCGTCAAGCTTAAATCATCTTCAGTCGGCATCGTTCGTCCAAACAGACTGACGAGTCAGCTCCGGACCTCGAAGGGTGTTCCTAGATCGTCCCCAATGGATCGGCCAACGGAAAGTTTGACTCGGTTCGTATAAGAAGTTAGAGTTTCATTAACCATGCCCGTCGTTAGTTTTTTTTTTTTGAAACAACCACGCCTTCTCCGAGCGACCCGGCTGTCAGTTTGTTTTAAATTTCCGTTCAAGGTATTTTGCGAATAAGGTGCTAGACTGGTTCCACGGGATAACCCACCAATGGCCTGAATTGAGCAGGAATTTTGCTCTCCTAATCCAGCTCCTTTTGGAAAGCTTAGTATTCAGGGGCATATTGACGATAGATTAGGGTTGCGGGCATTCGAATGTCAGCGAAACGAGCCGCCTATGACTCTTCCATGTATGCCGTGCCAGCAATCAGCTCCTTATCTGACGTAGTAATACTGCCATCGGCTCAGATTACAGGAAGCTTAGTTGCGGATCCAGATGTTATCCGAGTTGCTAAGCTTCCTGCCATGCATTGAGCAAACTGAAATAGATGATTTGAGGAACCTTTGGTAGCCGATATTGCAGTGGTTCCGGCAGCCCATCAGCCAAAGCCTTTGGCCCGTGTTGATGCCAACTTGACATGTTTATCAAGATCGGCTCCTCCCTCGTTTGAAGGACAATCTGGTTAACATTATTCAGGACGCCAGCTTTGTATCACCATGGTTTCTGCGATGTCCATCCGTCACCTACTGCTGGCATTGTTGCCATGCACTACCGTCCTGGCCGATTCTTGGCGAGTTGATGGCTTCAACCCGGTCAAAAAACTCGCAGAGGCCAAGCGATTGCCTGTTCGCCGCCATCTTGAGCGTCGTCAGAGCACTGAGAAGTACCAGTATCTAAATGACAAGACTGAGAGTATGCCCGCCCAGTCTCACCCACTTTTGTTCATGCACTAATGTAGCAAAGAGTACCTTGTGAACGGCACGTCTATTCCACTGGTCGATTGGGATCTGGGCGAATCATATGCTGGCCAAATACCTATCTCGAAAGAGTCAAACGAGACTCGTCAACTCTTCTTCTGGTACGTAAATGTGCCCCTTCCAGCCGCCGTCTATTTCGCAACATTGACACTCACTCCAACAGGTACTTCCCTAGCACCAATCCTGATGCAGCTGAAGAGGTCACCATTTGGTAAGTTTCTCAACACACTCCCCGAAGCGAAGTCTCAAGCCAGGCTCATTCGTCTATCAGGTTGAACGGTGGCCCTGGATGCAGTTCCTTCATTGGATTGGTCCAGGAAAACGGTCCATTCACCTGGTTCCCGTCTGCTTATCGTCCGGTCTACAACATCTTCAGCTGGTCCCAACTCTCAAATGTTCTCTATGTCGATCAACCCGCCGGCACCGGCTTCTCGGTTGGGAAGCCCGGAGTCAACACAGAAGAGGAGACCGCCCAGCAATTCCTCGGTTTTTACCACAACTGGATGGAGACCTTCGGAACCAAGGGTCGCAAAACTCATCTCACCGGCGAGAGCTACGCTGGTCACTACATCCCCTACATCGGTGACGCCATGATCAAGTCCAACCAGTCTGCTGACTACAACCTCTCTGGTGCCCTGATGTTCAGCCCCTACATCAGATCTGATCCCGGTGATTTCCAACAGCACGCGGTCTCGCTTCCCTTCGTCGAAGAGTACAACAACGTTATGGGCCTGTATCCCGGCGTTGGAGACTACTATGATCGGATCAATGCTGCCGACAAGGAATGCGGCTACGCCGATATGCGTGAAAACTACTTTACCTTCCCTCCCAAGGGTCCCTTCCCGCCCGGAAACAACAGCGATGAATGCGCAATCTCGTCCATTGTCTACGATGGTCTTGCAGAAGTTAGCCCTTGCGCCAATATTTACCACATCTCTCAGGGCTGTCCCAACCCATCGGACCCCCTCAGCTGGGCCACCGAGGGGGACAACGCCTCCGTACCCCTCGGCTTTGACAAGACGGACTGGCACTCTTACCTCAACCTTCCCGAGATGCGCAAGGCCATCCACATCCCCACCGGTCAGAGAGATTGGAAGAAGTGCTCCGATGAGAACCCATTTGGCCCCACTGGCGATGTCAGTCTTGACCCCTTCGCCTCTGGCGCTTTGACCCGCGTCATTGAGCACACAAACAACTTCATCATTGCCAGTGGCAACCTTGACTTCCGGGTACCCACCAACGGCACGCTCATGGTACTCCAGAACATGACCTGGAATGGACAGCAAGGTTTCGACGAGTTCCCTTCCAAGACCTTTCACCTTCCTACCGCCTACAGCGATTTATCTTCTCAGAGCTCCGCCGGGAAGATTGGTGATTGGGTTGCACAGCGTGGACTCACCTTTGCTCGTGTTTTCAACGCGGGGCACGGTAAGATTAGTTCCGAGCAGACAGGATTGCCATTGTCTTTAATTTATACTGACTTGTGCCTTTCTAGAACTTCCTCAATATGCTCAAGGAGCTGGCTACCGCCTCCTTGAACAACTTCTCGGCCGTGTCACGGACTTGACAAGCGACCTTATGTTCACAGCCCTCCCGGGTGACTTCACGGGATCAAACACAACACACGGATCCACTTCTCACTAGGCATCATTGAAAAGTAGGGTTTATAAGTACGTGCACGTATCTTTCAATACTAACATCTTTGGATCTGGGTGCGTTGGGCTCTATCTCCCGATCTCATGTGATGTTTTCGAGTACTTCTGGTTGGCCATATTGCGAACAAGACCCAATAGAAGTCCAAAGATGCGTCGTAGGTCTTTTCAACATAATAATTGACGACTTCGTTGACGTTAGCACCACTTTGGAGTATCCTGTCCACGATCTCGTGATGGCCTCCCCCTGCTGCCGTCGTCAGTGGATTCAAGTGAAAATGCTTCACACTTGCGTTTGCCCCTTTGTTGAGAAGAATGCCTACAGCATCAATGTGACCCCCAATTCGGCTGCTGCTTGGAGAGGTGTTGCATGCGTTCCATATTGAGCGTTCACCACATCCCAAAGCTCTCATGTACGACCCTCGAAATGGGAGTGCTGTCTTCTTCCTCACACCAGACTTCCAGAGCCGCTTTGACTCCAATCAAGGACGTGTCATATAGTGCCGTAGGGACATGATTCCAGTGTAAACGTATCTCGCAAAAAGGTTCAAATCATAATGCTTACACTCCATCAGCCTTCTGGGTTAAGACACGCTGGATTTCAGGATGATATTGCTCCCATTTCCGCAGCCGATGGTTGTTCCGCAAATGCAGTGAGATGAAAATTGCAATATCTCGGTCTGTTCCGTCGTTTCTCAGAGTGACAGTCTTGTCATGGTCAGACTGTAGCTCTTAATTAATGTCAGGTTCGTCTCGGTTTGTGACTAGCAAGTGAAGACAGAAACAGTCAGACCAAGCTCGTATATCTGCTATTGTTACGAGCATCCATCTCCTGTGGGCGTCTCTAAGACGTTCATTCCAGGCATCTAAGATGATGTACACATCTTGGAACATCAAATGGACCTGATGTAGACACTCAAGCAAGCTTGTGTCTGTAGGGATACTGCGTTCGTAGTTCCTGGACAATCTCTGGAGCGCCGGAGTGCTGCCGAGTTGCGCAGAGAGCTGTAGTACTAACGAGCGCAGATAATCTGATATATTCTGTTTACTGTCGTCTTTGAATGTAAAGAAGAAGAACACCACGCCCCCTCGAGAAGTTCTGTCGAACCCCCGCCGGCGCAAAGTATGTTCAATCATTATTGAACACAAGACGGACTTTCCACACCCCGCAAAGCCTCTTAGCCATAAAAAAATTTCGCTCCATATAGCCACTGCGTGAATTTGATATCACTGACTAGCCAGAGACCGGTGCCTGAATGCTTCTTCCTTCTATTCTCGTTGAAGTTAATAGATGTATCTGGGGCTCTCAACCAGTCTTGGATCATATCGGAGATTTGGGATATCGTGACGATACTAATGACGGCTTTGATATCTTTAACACCGTCTTTGATCCTCACACTCCTGAACGAGCTTTCCAACGTCCTCAAGCAATTCTATCCCACCAGGCTGGGAACTACGGTCGGTGACGTAGAAACTCAGCTGCTCCAGTAAGCCGTTGAGACTTTTTTAAAAGATTTGAAGTGGAGCTGATATCCGATCTCAGGATTCAAAATCGATGTAGTAATTGTGAAGTGATTGCGTGACTTGGATGCCGAGAGAGATGATGCCAACCACACTGCCTGCACTGGATAAAGGATCTGTCATTCCTGTACCTTTCCGAACACCAGTAGATCGGAAAAGAGCGGTATTTAGACACGACCATTCATTCTGGTGATAAGAATGATATTGACAACGATGTTGTTGTAGGTAGGTAGTGCTTCTAGGAGAGGTGAAGTTTGACTTCCCCACGCAGCTTACAAGAGGGTAAGGACCCAAGTAGTAATGTAATTCCAGGCATGGAGAATATGATGCAAGCTCCCCCTTACGCCCCATCAACAGGAGGGTACTCTTGCATGGTACAGTCACAGAATTCACGGGGTAAGAATGGAATTGGTGTACAGCAGAATGGCATTGACTTAACTCAGCCATCCAGTATCCAGTCGTGCCTGCAGCTGAGATTCGCAGCCTGATTTATCATTAGGGCGGTGCCGGCAGTTACCATATTGCGACATTGCGCTGTTTCCTGCACCAATTTCCAGCAATTGCGAGTACTCCCGCTCTTGAGAGGAGGAGCGCCTGCTCATTTCTCTTAGGAGGACTGTGGACTTGACTTCTCTTTGAAAGATGGATACTTTTGGATAATCTACGTCTGCGACCGACTAGATTCTTCAAGCACTGCTACGTAAGGCATTGTATTGCCTTAAGTAGCCGGCGTTATCAACCGTGATTAGTCAATATGTATTCATTAAGCAGGGCGGCCCGGGAAGGCCGTAGTCCTGTTGGAGCGGAGCGTCCTTGGCGAATACACACCTTACCTAAGTTGTAAGTAAACCCCCCTCCTCTAAATCAAGAACTATGTACTACTCCACACAGGAACTGATATTAATCATCACCCAGTGATATTAAAGAGGGAACTAGGAGTCCAGACCAGCCTTGGCGTTACCCGGGGGACATTCTCGACTCCCTGAGGGCTTCTCTACCTGCACCCTGTGGTCCTTATCGTAACCCCTACCTTACCTATCCACCAAGTACAGTAAGTAGACAGTAGAAGGTGTTTTTAACCCAGCGTGATCTGCACATCTTCTGCGACGACCCTTGCCCACGCAGTCTCCCAGACTCGGCCCAATGCCTTGCGGTATGCTACATCATCTCTCCACTCAATCCACAGGACGTTGACAAACTCATACGTCCCCCCATGTCGTGCGCACTCAGCTTCCTCCCACCCATCAAAGCCAGTGTCTGCTCCTGGCTGGCTCTCCACGGACCCCGCCGAAATTTCTATCAACTCGCACATCTCGCCGACTGATGATCCGTCGTGCGCGGCGGAATCTTTGGAAGGAACGTTAAGTCTCAGCACGCCAGCCCAGCGGCCATCTAAATCACACAAGGTCGCGCATAAGCACTGCGAGGCGCGGCGCTCATAGAACAGTTTGCTGATTTGAAGGAATCCCCATCGTGTGAGACCATGCAAGTAAGCGGGCTGTCTCGAGGGGGGACCATCGGGAGTGTTGGCCATCGACGCGAGAGGTACGGGAAACCAGAATTTCTGCGCTCCCGTCTGCGAGTGCAAGAAGTATGGCTTCTGGGCTCTTTCGCAAAACTTCTCGCACCAGCCTTCTGATGTTCGATCATCCGAAAACTCAGCGGCGTCGCCTCCCACCGGAACTCGTTCCCCATTTACGGCTAACGAGTACGACCACACGACGGTCCGCCGAGTCTGCCAGGGATCAGGCCGCCAAAAGCTCCCCAACCCGCGCAGATAGCGGTAGCCACTGCGCCAGCTCTCAGATTGGAGATTTCCCTGCCACCCCATCCACGACCAACTCGGCAGGGCCGATGTCAAATGGCTGGCGCGACGGACCAAGGGCTCGTAAGGCTGCCACAGCAGTGCGGCATCGAAGAAGATGCGAGGCAGGCCGCAGATGAAACCGCCGTGGAACGATTGACCAAATGCTGATAGGACTCCGGCGAAGGCATCGTGGACATCATGATCGAAGGTCAAGACTCGCTTATTATAGAGCGCGACGAGCCTGGCATAGCGGTGCAAGTCAGGCCATGGGGAGATGCCAGGAAGTAGCTTTATACTTGATGATGGATCAGGGACCCTGTTGTCGTTGCTGTTGACCTTACTATTGCTGTTGTTGTCGTATTTCTCATCTCCCCCAACGCCACTACAAGGCCCCGTCGTGATATACCTCTGATTCTCATGCCAGGACGCGCAGTGACATTGCCAATTGACGGTATCGTTATGGAACACAAGCTGCCGTCGAGAGAACATGAGCTCCTGGAACGTCCAACCCCTCTGGCACCATACCGTATTGACCAGGTCCCGAGCATGTCCCTCCATTATGATGCGATGCGCATCCGCCTCTCTTTGCCGGCGAAAGTTCGGTGCGTCGGTGACAGAGAAAGTGTCTGGCACCTCGAGCGGGGAGAGCTGCGGATCATTTGTGTGCTCTTGGGGAACAGACGGTAGCTCGATCATAGGGGACGGAGGTAAGATCCATTCGCTCACGACAGGTGAATCGACTTCGGTGTATGAGGGTGACTCAGGAAGGAAATCAGGTGACTCGATATCCATGGGGGAGGGTGAATCGTACGGTGAGCCGCATCCCGTGTAGCGAGGCGAGCCTCCGTATCCAGCAAATAGGGGGGAGTTGTAGTAATCAGGCTCAGGAGAAGTTGGTCTACCAGGAGAACGCGGCGTCCTCTCGATGAACTCAAACAGTCGTTGCGCCCACTCCTCCGGAGAGACCTCCTCCAAGCAAGGTAGCGCGTTTGGATCACCTTCATCCCCTTCTACAACAGTCTCACTTACCAGTCCATGGTGTAAAGGCTCATCTGCACCGCGCCCCTGCGCGGCAACGATAGTCAATAGAGCACCGGCGTAAATGTCCGCCATACCCCGCAGCTGAGCATGCTTCGCATCTTCGTCGTCTTGCACAATACAAAGCCTATCCACCCAAAGATACCTCTCACCAAGAAGCCGGGTTAGATTCATTGCCTCTCGGATCGTGGCTGGAATCTCTTGGCCGTTCAGGGCTCCGGGGGCTTGAAGAGCGGCGATGTTGGCCAGCGTTGCGGTTGCGCTTGAGGCTTGGCCCCAAACGTAACTCAGCGCCACGTAGGGATAGCGTAGGCCCGAGGCTGTTGCGTCGTCGTCTTCATCTTTCACGGCGACTAGGCGATAGGCGCGCACGTCAATCAACCACAGCGGAAGCGAAGCACCGGGCCGCGGGGGAGGGCCACAGTGGTCGCCGTGGGAGCTGGCGCAGGTGCGCAGCCAGAAGGCCATGGTAGACAGGCGCAAGGCATGTTTACCCGCGGGAATACGTTCTTCAAGGGTGTGTGATGTGTTTGGGCGATTGAGGTACGGCAGGAATGGGATCAAATGCTTCGGCAGCCGACGGATATACTGTGGCTGATAATCAGGGATGCGGAGCGAAAGCGGCTCGGCGCATCTTGTAGATGACTCGGCGTGGTCCATACGGAGGTGTGCGCGATCGAAAGCGCCGTCATGATGAACGGCCAGTGGCCGCCATCACGACCGAAATCAGCTTACTATGTACGCGGGGGTTGTAGTCGTTGTGGAGCAGTTAGATTATGGGTCGAGCGAGGGGTTGCATCCGACGTCGGCACCGGATCCGTGGTCGGGATATATGGGGCAATTCGGGTGACCCGCTCCGCGGAATGCGCGGCTTTGGAGTCGGCGAGCGGCGCAACTATCAGACGACCGTAGTCCAAATTAAGTACGTTCGATCCCGTCCACGCAGCTTTCAGACCCTAGCCAAGAAATAGCGCCGATCCGTTCGGTGTCCGAACGCGATACCGAATCTCTACGAATACGGACCCTTTGCAAACAAAGTCATGGCGAAATATGGTCTCTAGAAGCCACCATGAGCTATCAACGTTCAGCTCAAGTTTCATTGACGTGGCCAATGCCTGGAATGTATCAATGTCTGCCATGTTCTTGTCATGTAGTGCTGATCTTGTCCGTCCGCTTCGGCGGAAGCGTCTGAATAACTTCAAGCTTAAATACGAAATATCCAACCGGTGATAGACATCTTATATCGCCATGTACATCAAAGCACTTTCCAGCCTCAAACCAGCATCCCTCAATCAAAATACCTTGATCGTTAACTTAGTCCAACACCTCAAGCCCCATCGCAACAATGACCACCCAACCCAACAAGTACACTTCCAAGCTCGCCTCCAAACGCATCCTAATCATAGGAGGCTCCTCGGGCCTAGGCTACGCAGCAGCAGAAGCATCCCTAGAACACGCCGCCACCGTAATTCTGGCCTCGTCGAATCCCTCCAAACTCGCCGCCGCCGAAGCCCGCCTCCGTACAACCTACCCCTCCACCCGAGCAAACCAACTCAAAACCCACACAATCAACCTCGCAGACCTCGAAAACCTGCACATGAACTTGACCGCCCTCCTCGACGAAGCAACATCCGACGGTACCCTCAAAATAAACCACATCCTCTACACCGCAGACGCAGCATCCCCGCTCCCATCCCTGAGTGACACAAAACCATCACACATCACCGCGTCCCTCTCCATGAGAGCTTACGCGCCCACGATCCTCGCTGGTCTCCTCTCCACGAAAAATACATCACCCACGGACCAGATACCTCCTTAACCCTCACAAACGGCTCCAGCTCCCACCGACCCATGCCAGGCTGGGCTGTCGCCGACTGCGCCGCCGGCGCAATGGAAGGCCTTGTCAGGGGTTTGTCGTTTAACCTCGCCCCCGTGCGCGTGAACCTCGTCTCCTCGGGCCCCGTGACAACGGAGCTGTTCATGACGCTACCTGAGGCGGCTATCGAGGGATTCCGGAGTAAGACGCTGACGGGAAGGCTTGGACGGCCCGAGGACGTGGCGGAAGCGTACCTGTATTTGATGAAGGATGGGAATATTACTGGCGCGACCATCTTTACTGAAGGTGGAAGAATCTTGTCGTCGTAGGTTGAAGGGGGGGTCTAGTACGGCCCATCTCATCAGTGTCACTCATTTCTCAAGAACCATCTTGAACACACGATAGAACTCTTCTTCGGCTGTCGGCTCATCTGCAGAGGTGTAATTTGTATATTTTCCCCTCCTTTCACAACTCCAAGCTGGGAGTAACCGCTCTAATCCAATACTCAAGACGATGTTGTTTACGCTCAAGCCATTTTAGCTTCCATGTTGTAGGGTATGCAGTCACCTCACTAGTGAGAAACGTCCGGGCGTCATCCCCATAGACGATTTGTATCTACGTCCGCCTCCACTGCAGTCTGTCTTATCAAGTCTGGTAGACTCTGTATCATGCTCGAGGGGACATCGCTGTGAGAGAAATCGTCAGACGGACTGTCGCTATCAAAAGATCCCGACGAATCTTCCCATCCCAAGGGTTCTTCATAATCCTCGCATTCCCCATATTCTTCGAGGCAATCCTCGGCAGCGTATTCCTCCATGAACTTGATGGGCCAGGGCTGAAGTTGGTCAGACTGTCTCCTGTTGTTTCCTTCGCGCTAGGGGATGCAAAAGTCGACCCAGCTGCCAAGATAGTCCAGACGATTGCCAGCGTTCTCCTGGCTCTTGTAGATTTCCTCAAACTCATCAAAACTGAGCTTACCCCAGCCACCACGATCGGTAGCTTCCTTCTCTGCTAGGTCGAGCCGCTTCCATTCCAGCAGGGTGAAATGCGGGATGGTTTTCGGCTCCTTTACAGACTTGGATGGTTTTCCCTCCACGGGTGACTTCATTCCCTTGGTCGATAACGAGGAGTCGTCTGAAGTGGGCGGGGTGCTGTCTGGAGACATAGGCTCATCCATCTCACTGTTCGGACGGAATTGGGGCATTGTAGGATCCCGGTATTCGACTTCCTCCACGGCTGAGACATCTTCTTCGTTCTCATTTACCTCGTCATCATCTTCATCCGAGTCAATGACTTCTTCCACCCTCTGCCGCTCTTCTGAGATGGGGACGTCTTCTGTTTCGCCGTTTTCACCGACTCTGTATCCACTAGTCATCAGAAGTTCTTCCAGGGATCTTTCAGCGACAGGCTTGTCCTCGTCGAGTGCCTTCCTTGGTTGCCGCGGCTCGACTACCTTGCGCTTCGGCTCAGCATTTAGGTGCTCGAACAGAGGCCTGTTCTTATCTCGTTTTGCCTTGGTTGCAGCTGCCTTGACGGCCAAGTTCTCTTTGTCCTTGAATATGGCGTCGAGAAGCTCGTTGAACGCCTGCTGCGTGACCTGGTAAAGGATCTCTCTGCCTGCGTCGCGCTCCTCATCGGGAATATCCATGCCTCCCCAACGCTCGGGCACACTTCTAGAGGATGTCGAGGGATTGGATCTGATGTCGTAGTCATCCATGTCTTCTGCGAAGCGAACCTTTGACGAGGATCTAGATCGAGGGGATAATGTCTGCTGTTGTGCAGCCTTTGAGCTTTCCGCAACACCATTGAGGCTCACCAAGACATCTTCGTCTGATTGCCAGCCATCGGGGGCAAGACCGCCCTCTTCCTCGTCGAGATAGAATTGTCTCCTCTTCCATCTGTCGTGCAGCTGTTTTCTAGCAGCTTGCCGTCTTTTGCGCTCGATATCAGGTGCCATCTGCCTCTTATGGTTGATGACCTGGGCTCTGAGCTGACTCTCGGTGGGCATTGCGTTGGTGAACTGGTCAGGATCAACTCTCTGACTGTGGTTTGTGGTACCGTTGACTTGTGCCGGCTCGTCGCCTGGTTGACTCCTATTCTCCGCATCCGAGTTATTGTTGCCTCCTTCGTCGCCATCAGAGCTGCCAAGCTCAAGCTCAAAGTCAAAATCGATGCCATTCCGTTCCCGACGTTGTCCAGTAAGCAAGGCTGGCAGATCGTCTATTGTGGTAGGCGGGTTTAAAAGAGCATCCCAGTACGGTGTGTCAGGCTCGCTGTCAGGAGATGGCATTTGGAGAGACCAGGGACTTCCGATGTAAGGAGCGAAGAGCCGAGTAAGCACATCCTCTCGTCCCGAGGTATCGACCCTATTGTCGCTCACGACGCCGCGCCGACCAGGTTCCAATTCTACATCCCCGTTGGGGTGGAAGATCTTGCCCTCGCTGCGATTGTTGCCATCAGCGCGAGGAACTCTACCCTCCCGGCCGAACAGGCTACTGAGGGGCTGTCGACCGGTGACGAGTTGCTGTGCTTCGGTGCTACCCATAAGCTGATCGTCAAGCCCGTCGAGAATATCGCGGTGCATCTGCTTGTAGAGAACGTAGTATGCGCGAAACATACGCAGGAAGTCGCGGCGGTTGACAAAACCGTCTCCGTCGATATCATAGCCTTCGAAGATCTTGCGCAGCTTGTCCTTGCGTTTGCGATACGCAAGTCCGTGGAGGAATTCGGTGAAGCCAATGAGATCATCATTGTTTGTGTCGTAGAAGGAGAACATGCGGTCGTGGATAAGATTTGGCGTTGCATGTCTAGAGCCGCCCGACGGAACCAGGCACCGCTCAAAGGTCTTCTTGTCCATAGCCAGCGCCAGCTCGTCGGGGTCCTCGCGCCATTCCGTGCTCGCCATGTACGTGAATTGTTCCCAGAAAGCTTCAATCTCGGGTCTTTCGAAGCCGGTCTCCCTGCTCAGTCTGGCCATCAAGCCCTTACCCAGATTCCGTATCTGGGTATCGGGGTCGCCGGTGTACCATACAGGCTGCATCTGGCGGGGACCAAAGGGCGGGGCGGGGACCTTGATCTTGTAGAAGATGTGAGTCTTAATGTGAACTCCTTGGGATTCGCAGGTTTCGCAGAGGTCAAAGTCGGCACAATTGGCGCATCGGTATCGGACACCGCGGATGGGAACCATGCCACAGGCGTTGCATGCGCAACCCCTATGGACGCACGCGTTTCGCCTGGCATTATCCTCGGATACCCTGAAAAGAAGGCTGACGATGTTGTGGCCGGCTCGCGCCTGAGGCTGCATGCTATTAGGATCGTTCCACCATTCGTCGACGGTTCCGCCATCAACTATCGTATCAGCATCGTTCGCTGGGCGCATGCCGTCCAGATCGATGTTCTCGTCGCCATGAGAGCCTTCGGATGAGAGGGAGTTGCGACGCGATCGTCTGTGGTTCCGGCGAACGGCGTTGCTTCGGTGGAGGCCGGGGCCTTGGATTTCATCGTATTGGTCTCGATTGGCCTGGTAGGTATAGTAGCCAAGAGATGCCGCGGCGACAGCAGAAAAGAGGACCACGGCGATGCGCGGCCGCGTTAGGGTGTCGGTTGATGGCAGCGGGAGCCACATGATGGTGCCTAGACGTAGCTATACGTGAAGCATGTTGAGGGTAAGAGTATGCTCGGCATGCGAAATATCGTATGCGTAAGGGATTATGTCGAGGACTTAGTTGTGGTGTCGATTATTCGGGATGATGCTAGCTGATGAGAGGTATCGTTGGTGATCGTCCATCAAACGAAACGAACAGCAACGTGCAGGGTAAGCAGCGTCGCAGTTGCGCCAGCTCCTGATTCTGCCACATCTGCCCGCTTCGGGAGGGAAGGCGGTCAACACCATGGCAGATGCCCTTGCGCTTCCATCAGTCAGCAAGTGGCTCGAGCTCCAACTGCCCATGTCTTCGATGCCAGTACGTACCGTTCGACTCTCACGGATGGCTGTCCGGAAAGTCAAGATTCACATCAGCTTTCCATCTGCGATTCTCCACTACAACGGCACTAATCCCTTGAATACTTTATATGACATGGAAGTCTAACTATCTCATAAGTATACACAGCGACTCAACATACCTATCTTAGCTCCGTCCGATGTCCTTCTACCAGGAGATCATCAACCTAAAGTGAGCAAGAACATGCAGCGTCCTTGTCGTTTTTGGAGCTCTGCGATGGTGATTGAGAGCTCCCCGATGCCGAGGCATAGTCAAAGTGGAACCTCATGTCGCACGATTGTCTGCTATGAGAGTACTTCCATTTAGGGCAAATTTAACAGACAACCTACGTACCTCCATATCAGACGCCCTCAATAGACAACGTCACCAGCTGCCCGTTGCGCACCGCATCGCGCTTGACACAATCCCATGATCGCATTTAGTCTCTTGGGAGCCCGCATGTTCTGCAGTTCTGCAATTTGGACAAGCTGATCCGATTGCACAGTTTCCCCCCTCCACAAGCACGCTAGAGCTGCAGTCCGTTATTAAGAAGCGCTTGCTTCTTTCGTCGCATCTTTCCCAGGGCGCAGGGGTCTTTCGAGAAACAGCTTCTCTCAGCTCATAGATCATAGCTCATAGCTCATAGCTCTCACACAGCCGCCCCCCGCCTCGACTTTGATCCAAACTCATCTGTAACATCTCTCAACGCCACTTGGCCGGGCTTCTCCAAACATTCCCATATCTTCATCCCGAACACGAACAGTACCTAGTATAACCACGTTGGATCAACGTGGGGGATCGTCCTAAGATCAACAGAAATCTCGACTTCATATTTGACATACGCAGGCATGGCGACAAAGTAAGGCTCACCCATTCATCTGAGCACTAAAAGTATACTGACAAGATCACCAGAGTACCAGTCTTCCCCACGGCGGAAGAAACAATGAGACATCCCTCATATTCCTCAACGATATGGAACCTCGAACCCGATCGCAAGGGAAAATGTTCCGTCGCAAAGGACCGAGGCGGTCCCTTCAACATTGCCTGGGAAATCCACGGCACCGGTCCCTCAAAGATCATCGTACGCCCCCTTCACTCATGCCTTAACCTGCAACTACACCTCTCATACTAACACAAATCCAAAGTTCATAATGGGCCTAGCAGGCCTCAAAACCTCATGGCAGCGCCAAACGAAATACTTCGGCCACGACAACGCATCCAAATACTCCGTCCTCATCCTCGACAACCGCGGCATGGGCGAATCAGACGTCCCCTACCTCCGCTACTCCACCTCCGAAATGGCCCACGACGCCCTCGAAGTCCTCACCTCCGTCGGCTGGACCGCCTCCCGCTCCGTCCACCTCTTTGGCATCTCCATGGGCGGCATGATCTCCCAAGAACTAGCCTTCGCCGCCCCCTCCCTCTTCGCCTCCGTAACACTACTCTGCACGGCCCCCTGGATCGAAAACACAAAGACACTTCTCGAAAACATGCGCGACCGCGCCGCCATGCTCGTTCCCAAATCCGCGGACCGGAGTATTGCGGACACGTCCCTGAAACTCTTCCCTGCCGACTGGCTCGTCATGCCCGACGAGGCGGCTGAGCTGCCCAACGATGCAACACACAAGTGTGGTCCCGCGGATGGGGGCAGGGGTACGGTCGCTTCGAGAATAATTACCAACGGTTCCAGGCGCAGGAGCTCATCAAGAGGAACACGCCGGGGCTGTTCAGTATTCGTGGGTTCATTCAGCAGCTCGTTGCGGCGGGCTGGCATCACAAGTCGCCCGCGCAGCTGAGGCAGCTCGCGGATCAAGTGGGTAGGGAGCGTATTGCTGTCATTCATGGGTTGAGTGATGTTATGATTGACGCGCATCATGGAAGGTTACTGGCTGAGCATCTGCAGCCGGGTGTTGTGGAGTTCGTGGAGGGTATGGGGCATGCGCCCATCATGGATAGAGTGTCGTGGATGAACAAGTGGTTGGAGGAGCGAATCGCAACGGTGGAAAAGATGGGTGCTTAGGTGGCCGCTGGATGGGAACCCAGAGAGCAGGGCATGCATGGCAGATTGTGTTATGACGCACGCTAACGAGTAGTTGTATGTCGTGATGGCTTGATTCATTTACTGTGATACCTCACATATCATCCCCTAACGCCGGTATGCACACAGCTATTCGCTGTGCTGATCACCCTTGGGTTTTCCTTCTCCATCGTTCGCTCATAACCTCATGCGACTTACAACATGACCAAGCCAATTCCACTCAGGTTCTCCTCGTCAAGCTTGTTTCTTCTGTCGACGCCGCCAGCAATAGGGGCTGCGCGGTAGTTGAACAAGTAGTAGTGAAGCTGTCCGTCACCAGGACCAAACTTTTGCTGCTCTAGGAACAGGCCGTTATCCAAGAGGGACAGACCGTTGAAGACATCGAACTTGTTCTTCTTGCCCAAGATCAGGGCATCGCCGATGAGGGCGTTCAGTCGCGTCTTCAGGGCGGCCTTGTCGAGGGGCGTGGCGAGGCCGACTTCGGAGGCGTAGTACCAGAGGTAGGCGGCGCGGACGACCTGGTGCTTTGAGCTGTTGATGACAGTAGACTCGAGGCAGTAGAAGGAGAAGAAGTCGGTGATCTTTCCATTGGTCTAGCTGGATGTCAGTACACTTCGAGCAGGAGGGTATGGGAACATGAGACGAACCTCGACGACATATGTCCAGATAACCTGCTCGCCGGGGGCGTTCTTGTCATGCAGAAACCAGTGTCTGAACTCGTCCTTGGAGAACTCGGGGGCCATATCGAAACGCTTCAAGTATTTTGCCAGAAGTTCGTTTGCACCATCAAGGTCCTTCTCTTGGAGCTCGCGTAGGCCCTTGGTCGACGTGTTATCCGGAAGCTGGTACTTGCGGATCTGGTACTGAGGCTTGCTGTTGGGGGGCAGCGGGCTGAATCCAACCTCGTACAGCTTCTGCCAGTTGAGGGCGCGGTGGAAGTAACGGCAAGTACTGACGGGCTTGGGCAGCACGACACCACCAGTGTAGAGACCCTGCCAGATCTCGCGCAGGTTGCTGCGACGCGTGATCTCCTTAATGAGCACGGGTGCAAGGCGCTTGCCGCGGAGCTTCTTATGGACAACCATGAAGTTGACTTCAGAACAAGTGACAACGTTCTTGCGCACGCGCAAGTTGACCGGGATGGCAGAGATGAAGGCGACGAGCTTTCGAGACTGCGTCGCGCGAACACCAACGTGCCACTCCTTGCGCCAGCCGGGAGCCATGAGGGCCCTGTGAAGATGGTTAGCTTAGGCTTGTTCGAGTACGAACCAGAGCCGAATCTCACCATTGAAGCATTGCTGGCGAGTAGTTGAAGCGGAACATGGCCTCATCATCCTCAACGTAGTGGCCGTTGAGCAGCTCGTACACCTCCTTCATCTCACCCTCGTCCTCGAGGTTCATAGTAACCCACTCGAAGCCAGCCACCATTGGTGACGCCTCCGTAGGCACCTCTTCTACCTTCTGGATGCGGATCGGGCCATCCTCAACCTTAGCCTCCGCCTCACCAAACTTGGGCACGGGTTGCGTCGCCCAGAACTTGTAGCTTGCCATATCTTTGGCATTCTTGCCAGCCGAGGCCAGGCCAGTCATGATGTCCTGGAGGTTCAGATTCTTCATCGCCGCGGCAGTCTCCTCGGCCGACTTGCTGCTGGAGCTTCCAACACCAAGCTCGTTCGCCAAAGCCGGATTCAGGGCGAGAAGCTCGGTGAGCTGCTGTGGCGTCAGGCCACCGATGGCCTCCTTAATGGCAGCCTCCGGATCGCTAGGCTTGCCGGTGAGCGCATCCTTGACCTTCTTTCTCTTGGACCTCTTTTTCTTCTTCTTTGCGGCGCCAGAAGCTGCGTCGGGTGCGGTCTCCTCGGGCGCATCCTCCTCTTCGTCCTCGGACTCGACCTCGGCCTCCTTGCCCTTGCCCTTGTCGCTCGCCTCGGCAAGGGCGTCGTTGGCGTCTTTGACGGCCGGGTCGAGGGGTTTGGACTCTTCGGCAGGCATCTTGTTGTCCTCGATTCGACAGTATCTGGGGGGGGTAGTCGAGTTTCGGGGGTGTTGGTGGGAGCTTCTTGGAGCTCTGTTCAAGCTTGCGAGGTGGGAATGGCGGGGAAGAAGTTTTGGCGGGAGAGAGGACAGTTTCATGTGCCAGCTGTGCTCCCAGGCGGTACAGGCTCTAGCTGTGTGTGTGACTGCATCATGGCGGGGTCACCTGCTGGGGGCTGGTGCGGGGCAGAAGGTGCCAACCCGCGGTGCAGCTGCCGCCCTTTCTCCAAGATCCTTGCGCTAAATTTGGAAAGACCGTCACAGGTCACAGCGCATTATGAACTACTAATTCAATTCTCACTTCATTGGAGATCAACATGTTCACCAAACAAGACACTTCCAATTAGCAGTAGTTGTTTCCAAAGCACCAGTGTCAAAAGGCAGATGAAAGAGTCTTTGTTTTCATTATTTACTTTCCATCTTATGACAGTACTTACGGTCATGCTTCCGTACAGCCCGGGTCTACTTACCTTTAGACATAATTATGAGATGCCATCCTCACATGATAGAATACCATCAAAACAACGCTAGATGAAGACTTGGTTTGCTGTATATTCATCTGCGATGATACTACTTTGAAAATTCTAAGTAAGCCTCACCAAACCTCAAAACTACCCGTGACTAGCTGTTGATATGCTTGCGAGCGAACTTTAAGACCATACCCTAGGGCAAAATGAATGCGAATCGAGTAAATGTAGATATTATGTAAAATAAGATCAATTCTATACCGGCAGACCGGAGCGCCGACTCAAAACGCACAACTGCACCTTCTTCTGAAGAAACCATCACAATCCCGACTACCATAACTACACCGATAAAGCCCCGTCCACTCTACTCTATTGCTGGCGCTCTTAAGTTCTATGCGAGAGATATCGGCATGGAAAGCCCATGATAACGGTTACAAGGTTCTGCTGCTAGTATCTGACCCGGCCATGTCGTAAGCCGTCCCTGCGAGGTCGAAAGACCGCATCACAGCAAGGATTACAGGCGCGTATCCCATGATATCGTTGTGTCCTACGAGAGTCAGAAAGTGTAATCCTTAACCAATGTGTGGTCGTGGTCGACTTACCGCCGTGTGGGAAAAGCTCTTGGCGAATAACAATATTTGGCTCCGCGTTCCACGTAGTCACAAATGCATTCTTCCCCTTGTGAATTGTACGTACATCCTTCCACGCCTCAAACGAATGATCGCTCAATCCCCCAGGAACAGTCGCATTCGCAGCGGCGCGAAAAAGCTTGTTGCTCTCTGTCCAAGGAATGTCCCCATCGTCCTTGGCCGAGATGAGCGTCAAGCGCAGCCGTCTCTTGGTCAGCTTGACCAGGCTCTCCAGCCGATCCACCGACGGCCACTTGTCGTAGATGAAGCCCTCCATGTACTCCAAGAATCCTGGCCAGACCTTCAGGGGTCCCAACACCGGGAACAGGCCACCAATCTTGTAGCCGCTGAGCATCTTGGGGAGATTGCTGAAGCCTGCGACAAGAATGACACCACCAAACTCGATTCCTTGCGAGGCGTAGAGCTCAGCGACACCGCTTGTCACGGCAGTGCCGAGGCTTTGGCCGAGAAGAACGATGCGGTCGGAGGGCACACCAGCAACGTTGATGACCCAGTCGATCAGAGTGGCGGCATCTTGGATCAGGCCGTACTCAGTTGGGCGACCTGTTGAATGACCGAAACCACGGTAGTCGATTGCCAGGACATGGTATGATGAGGTATCAGTGATGACATGATAGCTGTCTGGTCTATGGCCTTGTGCGATGTCTCCAGCGTTCTAAACATGGTCAGTATCAGAGCGAAAGGTGTAATGGGATTAAGTTTTTCTCACCCCGTGGACTATGTTGAGTTAGAATTTGGAAGTAAATATGCGGATGGCAAATGACTTACATGAAAGTACAACTCGAGCATCCGGGTCCTCTTTCAGTGCCTTGAAAGACTCGGTTTCGGTGAAATCTTGGCAGAAGCCACCCTTCTGCACTGAGAATCTCTCCTCTTGCTTAAGGTACTGAGGCAAAGGCATAACATGCCACGCATACAGGCTCACTCCATCAGGAGTGTCCAGCGAGAAAGGTGTGGCTTGGCCCTCTACGGTGAGAGGTTGTAAGCGATGGCGCGTCTTATACAGGGGTTGGCACGTGGACCTACTGGCAAAGCCCCATCTCTCAGGCTTGTCAACGTCGCGCCACCAGAGAGTGTTGATCTTGTGTGCATACAGGAAGCTGTGGAAGTGTCATTATAGATATATATACCGGAGACATGAGATGTTGGTCAAGAAGTCTTACTGTCGTTGGAAGAAAGGTGTTGCGCCGAGGGCCAGGAAAGTGAAGTAGAGGCCCAGCGGAGCCGCCACGACCCAGACGGCCGTTCGGAGGATCGGCGAAAGCGGAACCGGCATAATCGGAGTGCTGTGCTAATACTAAGATGCAGAGGGATGGAAAAGACACGGGAGATGAGATTGCGGGACTTCCGAGTTATCTACACATGGCGGGTGGCGGTGATGTGGCCACCGTCGGTGATGCCTGGTCGATTTGGTTCCTTGCTTGAGGTTGGAATTGCCTGCGAGCCCGCAGGGATGGTGACATGGAGGCATTTAGCTGAGTGTACTTTCTTCCTGTGCAGGTTTGTGCACCAACTAGAAGTACCTACCGCTAGTAGGCGCAGTCCCCAGAATGCGGCGACCTTTCGCAACTGTGGTCTGAGCCGCACGCCGACGACAACAGATCATCCATCGATATCAAATGCGCACTTTCCCCCGCCACCAATGCTTCCTTACTACACACTGGTCTTCCTGGTATACTCAACTAGAAGCATATCGTCCAGTCCGATTGATTTACTCGGATAAACCCCATTGCTGAGATATTTGGTCATTTGTGCATAGACTTGGCAGCGCGCCTATGGTCGGGTTAATTTGCTAAATGCGGAGGGATGACTACGAAGTACCGCGAGAGTAATTTGATCTGGCCATTTCTTCCAAGCTTCACAGCCACACTCATTCACACACATCTACATCTGCAGTTTCCCCCTCATACCAAGGTGAACTTGCGCGGAAGCCAGCAAGGGCCAGTGAGCGGCTTCGACCTTCCGCAGACCTGGTGACATGGTGACTTGTAAGAGATAACAACATTCCTGTCGGAGAAAGGAACAGGAGACCCAAGGGAACTGAATGGCAGAACAGGAGGCTCTTAGTTGTCCGTTGATGTGGCAGGAGAAGGAATAACCCGGAGTGCAGAGTACATCCGCCAAGGTATCACGGTACAAAGGTACATGACAAAGCATGCGACGATTTTGGCGCAATGTGAGTGGCGGGCGAGACCCTTCTATGGACCCATGTCCCCATGTCCCCGTGCGCTTCGTCCAGTCAGGGCGCGGCAACGTGCCCAGTTTTTCCGGTCCTGCTCCAGGCCAATCAGATACGGCTGTCCCTGTTAAACTCACAGCCCGCCTGCTCTTTCGCCCGCTGCGACTGGACGGCACGGCACCGCGGAAAGACGACGTGCACCAAGTGGGAAGAACCTACCTGGACGTGGTGGAGGGTACCCGGCAAGCAGCAGCAGCAGGAGCAGCAGGAGCAGCGCAGCAGAATGAGCAACCGCGCTCTTGCATCTCCGAAAGAAAAAGAGGCGGCGGCAGCCCAGACGGAGCCTCAGGTACCTCCCACTTTGTACCTTTTTTTCCATGCTTCTTGCTGGTCGCCGCTGATGCATCCCATACAAAGCTCCCCATGCTAATATCCCGCCCACCCCAATTCAACTCATTCACACGAACTCTTCCCCGAGTCTCCAAATCTATTCCTCCATATTACCGACATAACCACACGCACGACTTCCGCGTTGACGCCGCCCCGCGAGACGCCGCCCCAATATCCCGCGAACAGCTTAACGCCGATATATTCACGACTCGACTTCACGGCAGCCTTCCCTGCTCTCCCACGTGCAACATACTCGCATACCCCCTCCTCTGCCGAAGAGAATACGACTACGGCGCCGCGCGCAGTCGAAGGCTGTGGCTTCTTCAGCTGATGATGAACATACCGACACGCTCGGGAACCTACTCGTGATACCGTGAACTCTGCGACGGGGAGACGGCACATTTGACATGGAGAGGAAGAGGAAGTTGCCCGCAAGGGCTGCGGCGCGTGTCGAACACGTCGCAAAGAAGCGCACCGTCACCCCTCCCGAGCCTCGATCCGTTACACCAGTCCCAGTATCAGTTGAAGAACCTCCGCCGCCTCCCCCTTCGCTCCCAAAGTCCATTCAGGCTGGGAAGCCGCTGCCGACCGTCGAGGATGCCCAACCCGATGACCTCCCCGCGAAGGAGTACCAGTCATTTCAGGAGAGGTAAGGCCATATGCCCTGGCGCCCCAGACTTAGATCTGGGGGTTGGATGCACTGAACTGACGTTTGCCCATAGTGGTGTTCTTGCCGAATCGCTGAGTCGGTCACGACACAAATGGCTTGCCGAAGGGTTGTTCGAGAAGTACTGGACGAAACCTGGAAGAAAGAAAAACGCAACCGAAGATCCCAAGAACCCATCCAAAGATACCATGAGCAAGATTGGGCCCTGCACGATTACGATCGAGCCGCACGTTTTCGATGTGACCCTTTGGGCGATCAAGGACCCCAAACCTCCCGCACCCACCACGCAAGCTACCTTTCGACCCATTCTGCAATATGGTCCTCCCAATGGAGCTATGCCCCCTCCACCTACACCAGCAAACACGAACCAAGGCCCTACGCTCGCTCCTAACGACTCGAAGCCGACGCTTTCCGCCCCGAGTCCGGCTCCTCCGTCACCCACCCCTCAGCAACCACCTTCCAGGCCGCCCTCATCAGCTGCGAACGAGCCGCCCAAGGTTATGCCCTCGCCACGCAGTCTGGAGTCTATGCGAACCGCCAGTGCGACACCACCTCCGCCACGACCAGTAGCTCCATTGGCCCCGGCGGCTGCGACACCAGTGTCA